ACCATCACCTTCAGTTCTTTCAAGAGTTGGCACTCTTTCGGCCGCAAGGATACTGGCGAGTCGACTGGCCGCCGTAGCCGCTCTCAGCACCGGACCAACACCAACCTTTCGGGCGATACCCACACTGCTGATGCTTCCCCAAGCAACAGCAATGACGAGAAGGCCCGTATGGCGGGCGGTGAATGCTAAACAGCATTACCCATTTTATTGTTTTTCTGTGATTTGATTCGCAAAGAGTTAATGATACCACTGTCACGAAGAGGATTTGTCGCATAGCGCAAGATCCACGATTTGACGGCCGAGTTAGAGGAGGAAAGAGGCAGGCCGTGTTCCAGGTGGAGGATGCATGTTTTGTACCCTTGAGAGGGCTTTTGACTATGGATTAGCATCACGATGGATCGATAGACCATCATGACTTTGATGTGTTAGAGTAATAATGATCTTGAAACAACTTTTCGTCTCTCCAAAGTGAATGCACATTGGTTCGTGTCTGGGTACAAGCGACCATCGCTTAGAGTCCACACATGGAACACGTCGCATCTTCCAGACCCATCTGGGGGATCATGCGGAGAATAGTCTGGTGGTCACAAAAAAGCTATGAATCAAATTGATATATGGTTCGAGACGACAATGCCTTAGATAGTGGGAGAAAAGTCCAGCGGAAGGGTGGGCAAGTGCTGATACTTCGAGAGCCCAGGTATTGTCACACCGGTACCCGCGGAGGTGGAGCCGACCAGTCACCGGTCAGCGGGCACGGGGTTGGCCCGACTGGGAAACGGTGGCTGACGGCCGGCGAGGTGAATTGGCCCGGGTAGTCATGGGGGATCTCCGATTGTTTCCACGGACTTTTTGGCGTTATTAATTTTTCTTCGAATCCGATTGACGGGATCGACGCCACATATACGGGTAACGCTTTTCGGGCTTGAATTGCGGGTATTTTGGTAGCCCGCGGATGATCCGCGGATCCGCCCTCTTGGTCAGCCCGCATGTCTCCGTGGCCATGGTTCCTGCGAGGTGTAGAGTATCCGTGCTATCGTCCGATTTCATCCGCCTAGTTCGGATTAATCATCGCCGGTACTTGCTGTTGACTGCATATCGTTCGGCCCGGAGAGCGAGCTATGCCTGAATAGGGCTGACAAAGGGTTATACGACCGCTATGGCGCGCGTGCGCGCTTCTTGGCTTGTTTGGGCCTGAGCCTTTGAGATGAGATTGGTGAGACTGATATAAAAGTCCCATAGACCCGGATTCATCGATGAGCACGAAATATCGTATCTATCACACTTCCTTGAGAGTCTTTTAGATTCACGATATTTATCCGCAACCATGTCTACAACTTCTTCCTTGAATATCCCTCCCTCAAAGTCGACGGTCTCCGTCTCCATCATCGACACAACACTCATTGGCGACCTCCCCACGGCACCTTTTATGGGCCCTACCATGAATGGCTTCGAGAGGTGGCACGGCGTAGGCTACGCCTTTCTAGTAACACACCAGGACTCTGCCGGAAAGACTAGACGCGTAGTATTCGATCTCGGTCTGCCGAAAGACTGGGATAATGACTTTTCTCCAGCTGTCTTAGAAATGGGGAAGAACTTGGACGGGACGATGATTGCTCAAAAATATGTTTCCGAGATTTTGACCGAGGGTGGTCTTGATTTGGGGGAGATTGAAGCATTGTTCTGGAGGTACGTAAGCCATGTTTGCTTTTAGTGCGCGAAACCAAAGAGACTTTTGAATGTGATGGCTAATTCGATGCATAGTCACGCACATCCGGATCACATTGGTCGCCCGTCACTCTTCCCCTCCACGGCATCGCTGATCGTCGGCCCGGGGGTGAAGGAGGCGTACTTCCCGGGCTACCCAACCATCCCAGATGCACCCGTCCTCGCTCGCGAATTCGAGGGCCGCGACGTGCGAGAACTAGACTTCTCTTCCACCGAAATTGAAATCGGGGGACTCAAGGCGCTGGATTACTTCAATGACGGGAGCTTCTACCTCCTCTCCGCGCCGGGCCACGCCGTCGGACACATCAACGCCCTGGCTCGTACGACGGAGGATACCTTCATGTACTTTGCAGGCGACTCCTTCCACCACAGCTCCGTCCTCAGACCCCACGGCGGCGCGACGTTACCAGAGGAAATACAGCTGCCGGGCCACTCTTGCTGCTCGGGACGGGCGTTCCACGCAGTCCATCCCGTGGCTGGTAACGCTGCCGCCCTTGGGCCTTACAGCAAGGTTTTGGGGGAGGCGGGGAGCGACGCGAACGGGATCCCGTTCCATGCGCTGCCTGAGGGTGGAATATTTATGGATTTGGAGGCGTCGAGGGAGACGGTGCGTGCCATTCAGAGGTTTGATGCGAGTCCGGATGTGTTTGTTGTGGCGTCGCATGATAGCAGTTTGGTTGGCGTTGTAGAGGTTTTCCCGGCGGATGGGAGTAAGTGGAAGGCCAAGGGGTGGAAGGAGGGTGGGAAGTGGGTGTTTTTGAAGGATTTTGAGAAGGCGGTTGAGATTGCTAACTCGAAGGAGAAGTTGTGAGGGTGATGATGAGAGAGCATTTGTAGTAGCTTTATACTTGTAGAACTTCTCCTCTTTTATACTGAAATTTACTTCCACACTGCCTGTGTCGCATCCTTTTGCTGATACTGTGACTCAAGCCTCATTTTACCACCCATATGTTTGCTCGCTTTTGAGCTAGACTGCCTCGATCGCCTTTAAATCCACAACATCAAAGATTTATTGCCCAACCAAGTCTCCTAAATCTCGATACAGGATTGTCATCCACACTTGGCACCCCCGTTGTTTTAACAGGTAAATGAGCATTCAACGCCAGCCACAGTAATTGAGGACGGCGCGGGAACCCAGTCCGGAACGTTCTTGCACTGGATGTCCGGCCCATAGACGCCGTCGATAGTGCCAGAAAGGCTGGCGCAAGCCTCGATTCGGTCATCAAAGAATTGTTGAAACGTAATTTGGCCAAAGCAGTCGCGATAGTTGATGTGGCAGAATTTCGCCATGGCTACGGAGGCCAGTGCTGGTAGAAGAGCGAGAGTCGATTGTTTCACTGATGTTAGGAGAAATCATGTTAGTTGCCAAGGAATCCTTCTGGCTGCGGCAGGAAGACTCACTGTTGCCTTGGCGGTACTAAATGATGTACTCTTAGGAGGAATATTGGTTTGAAATGCGCCTGTTGACTCTTTTCCTTCAGGAATCGAAACAACATCCGACTCTTCCCATTAAGTAAAGTGACCCGGAGCAATTTAGTCATAGCTCTAAAGTGTGAACTTACCGACAGTGAAGTAGAGCAGCTAACAAATTACAATGTTCGAACTAAACTTTCCTGTATTAGAGTCTATTATATCAAACCAAGACTTCGCCAAAATGATACTCATTTAACCATATTTATAGTTCAGAGGAACGAAACTCCAGTTACCCAAATTAGTAGGATTTGCTAAAAGGTTCCCACTCAAATTGGAATGAATCAAGATAATACTCCGTAGTCACGGTATAAATAGACCACCGCATGACAACTTCGATCATAAGGATGTGATCGCCGACGACAAGTCACATAACATACTTTGGCTCAGAAGTTTTTTGAAATTACAACATCGACATGGGTATCCGACGGATCCGATCAAATCAATTCTATTGGGCTGTGAGATGGCTACCCAAGACTCATACACTCGCGCCTTTGAGCTTTTAATGTTGATACTTTGGGAATCCCCTCAACCACACAACTTTCGTATAGTCAAAAGCCCAGGCCTGAAATCCGCACGTCAGGCACGCCACTTCGTATATCAACCAAACACGACATCTTTCCATAATTCAGAATGCACAGTCAAGTGAGCCTTCTGAACATGGTGCTTGCACTCTTCGTCATGGTACTCTCTTTGGTCTCAGCTAGTCCACTGCCCTTATTATCTCAAGACGTTCCAGCCACCCTTGGGCCTCGACAATCCGTTTGCCGCCCCACCGTCGGCTGCGTTCCCTTCTTCAACGCACCAAGCTGGAACAGCTTCGAGTTGACGATCCCCGCCCCCGGTGATCCGCGTACCCAGACCGCCCGGTCGTCTGGCGGTGAGATAGAGGCCTCCGTTTGGAACCGAGCCGACGGATCAGCGTTTGTCGGGATCCACCTTGGGGACAGCTACACGCTGCCCGGGCACAGCGAGATGCAGATTCAGGCACGGCACCGGAATACTGCTATCTCCCTCAATCGTAACTCCATCCAGCTTGAGGGTGAAGGAGGACTCGCTACTATTCCTGCTGCGACGATTAATTCTTGGAGACAGGGTAATCGGATTGGGAATACCATTACCCTTACTATAAGATGGAGACTGGAACAGGATCTATGAGAGTGGATTGATTGATTGGTTCATGTTGGAGTCAAATAGTCGATGAGAAGCGCGAGCTTCTCAGCCATCTTCATTCATGCGATTGCGGCAAGTTTTCGTTTTGCATGGTAAGCCGCTAAAAGCGGTAGATGAAAAAAGAAGTGCAACATCCAAGTAAAATACCAAGAAATTGAAGTTTGAGTCGAAGTCACCCTCACATTTGTTCTATAGCATACCTAAGTAACCCAGTGGTAAAATTCGGAAACATTTCAACTCTCGAACTTGTCACAGCAGTTGTTGACATTGAACAAAAAGTGTTGTAAACTGATTTGGTAACACAAAGCTTTATCAAAGACGTTCTTCCGCAATTGATCCCGCCTGATTACGTATGTGGACCTTTAGGGCCAATTAGACGACGGTCCCCGGTCATGTTTGCGCCCTTCAACCTGTCGGTGCTAACCCTTAAGGGGAGGCGTCTCACTCAACTTATCTGCAAAAGGACTTTGGTAGGCTCTTGACTCACTCGGCATAGTTGGGACCATGTACATGAAATTTGCTCTTATCGTATTTCCGTCGAGTCTGCTGAACCTGACTCTTGTTCACACACAAGAGGTGTTGTAGAGGTGTTCAACTCCAACTACCAATCAACATCGACTTCCACAGCAAACATGGCAACGCAAACCGCGACGGAGTTGCAGACCTTCGAACCTGCTTCGTCAACAACAGTCACCACCTTACTGCGAAAAAGCCATGATGCGCCATCAATCTCCCAACAAGCTCCCGGCGGGCTAATGACCACCGACTCGGAAGAGGAAGCAGCGACGACCGGCCCCGTCCTGCTCTCCAAAACCCGAGCCGGCATCGTCATCGCCCAAGTCTGCGGCCAGCTCTTCTTCAGCAGCTTCTGCAACGGCATCATCGTCGTCGCCCTGCCTGCCATGCAGCACAATCTAGGCTTGGACGAAGGTCTCCTCGTCTGGCCTAGCTCCAGTTACTTCCTCACGGCCGGATCCTGTCTCCTGCTCGCCGGCTCCATCGCAGATGTTGTGGGAAACAAGCGCGTGAACCTGACGGGCTCATTTTTCAGTGCCGTATTCGCCATGGCGTGCGGTCTGGCGCAGACGGGCGGTCAGATCATTGCGTTTCGGGCTCTCCAGGGTGTGGCGTACGGTGTCATCACACCTTCGTCCATCTCCATCATCTCGACCAACATGGAGGAAGGGCGTCCGCGCAATATGGGATTCGCATGCATGGGCTTCTCTCAACCCCTGGGCTTCCTGTTCGGGCTGGTACTGGGTGGTGTGTTTACCGATAATGTTGGATGGCGACCGGCGTTCTACCTGGCTGCGGCTGCAAGTGCGGCTCTGTTCTTGGTTGCCATCTGGGCATTGCCGCGCGACCTGCAGGCCAGAAATGACCAGTCTATCTGGAAGCGGCTCGGCAAGGACATTGATATTGTGGGAGTGGTCCTGGTCAGTACCGGGCTAGCGACCTTGTCGTATGTGTTGGCGTAAGTACCTGGTCCACGTATAACTCAGTGAACGAGATGGTTAACCTGGCGCAGGTCATTGTCAGCCGACATCAACAACATCCGTAAACCATCTAGCATTGCGCTTCTGGCAATAGCCGGCTGCTCTATTCCTTCGTTTATCGGGTGGATGCACCATCGGGTAAAAAGCAACAAGACTGCCCTCATCCCCAACTCGCTCTGGGGCAGCTATGTGTTCACCAGCTGCTGTGTCATGGTACTTCTTACCAACGCTCTCACCAACTGCATGGAGCTGTATAGCAGTCTGTTGTAAGTCACAGTGGCACTTTTTGGGGGGAGTTCTAGAGTAACGTAAACCAGCTTCCAGCAGGTCCAGGGCTTGTCAGCAACGGTGGCATCAGTCCAAGTAGTGCCATCTCTCGCCGCCGGGGCACTTACAAGCATCGCAACCGGCATCTTCGTTCACCGCATGCCTGTCTTGTGGATGTTGCTGATCTCATCGGCAATGAGCACAGTTGCGCCGCTTCTCATGGCCCTTATTCGGACTAACCAACTGTACTGGGAGAACGCCTTCTTCGCACAGGTAAGCAAAGGGAATCTCTACTACTCTCATCTCATTTCAGCCATGCCCATAACCTACGGCTTTCATTATTCAAGTCTGGTTTTTAGTAACTAAGGTAAACCCGTGTAGATCCTCACTCCCATCAGCTGTGACATCCTCTTCACAGTCGGCCTCCTCATCGTCTCCGACGTCTTCCCCAAACGCATGCAGGCCCTCAGCGGCGCCGTCTTCAACACGTGCGCCCAGCTCGGCACCGCCCTCGGACTCAGCGTAGCCCAGGTCATTGCCTCGTCTGCGACCAATGCCTCTTCGTACGCGGACAAGTCGTCGCCTGATGCCCTCATGGTGGGTTATAGGGTTGCCTTCTGGGCCATGTTTGGCTGGATGATGTTTGTCTGTCTCGTGTGTGTGTTTGGGATGCGCCGGGTGGGTGTAATTGGTGTGAAACGGGATTAGACCCATTCATCCTGTAAACAGTCGCGCGGTTTGGCCGCCTCAGGGAGCATACACAAGGACATTTCAATGCATGACCGGCGTCTTCAGACCTTGCGGACAAGAAAAAGAGTAATACTGGAATTACGAAGCGATAGACAGTAGAGATGCGTGATGCTTGAGATATAAATGATGTATGGAGAGGTAAAGACTATTCTCCACATGCAGCAAAGCATGAGGCTCATGACGCTTCAAGTTTTCACCCTCGATCGATTCCAAGTATCCAAGCATGACTCAAGAATCGAGGAAACATGTAAACCATCCCACCTAATAGCTTATCTCCGAATTTCAATTCAACTGGAATAACATGAATATTCGTCACCATACTGCATTTTCGGGCCTCAGTAGTGACGACGACTGGCCTCAGTATCCCGGCTCGTCTCACTGCTCTGCTGACTTCCACCGCCACTCACATTGACAACGACAAGTGGCTGCGACCTCTGCCGCTCCTGCTCGCGCTCTCTTTCGCGTTCGGCATCGAGGTCAGCATTTCGCTGTTCATGGTAGGCATCCTGGCTGCATCCGTAGACGCAGTAGGTCTGGGAGTCCTTGATCTGGCGGTTGCAGCCGGGGCAGCCTTTCGTCATGATTGCGAATTGATGTTGTGGGGAGGCTGAATGGTAGAATTTTAGATTTGGATTCGAGGAAGTAGTAAGTAGGGCTTGTTGGTTTTGAGACAGGAGTTTGAAGTGTTTGAGAAAAGGAGGGAAGTCCAGTTCAACGACTTGGGCAGACTTCTCGCGAGTTTAAATACTCTGACATGCTAGCTGATTATGGTACCTTGCACTTTCTTCATCCTCGTAATTCCTGGTGTCTGTCACCTAGGTGCAGTCAAACCAGTCATTTCAACCGTACACAACTACGGGGACAAGGCCGAATGCACGCGCGGCCTCCCAGCCTGATCTTACAATCAGGCTATGCGCTGTCCATTGATAGTCAGTTGGCCTCACCACTGACGAGATGACGCGAGGCCAACAAGGGATCTACGGTCATCTCTCGGATATCATTTACACCCGAGCCTCCAGACTCATTCGTGTCGGGCGCTGAAGATAAAGGTCCGGGTGTGGGTCATACCCGAGGCCCGGGATCTTCATACATCAACAGCTCTAAGCTCGCATAACAATACAAGGCCGGACAGAAGGGGGGGCTGCTTGCCGTAGGTTCTTGCGGCGCGATTACCGCAAAGCCACTGAAGGGGGAGAAGATAGTTCACGTGGGGGATCCGCATAGGATGGGGTGGGATGCGGTGTCCTTTTGTAAGGAGCCTATGAGGTGTGACATGGAAAGGAGGTGTTGGGGTTACGCTACCAAGGCAAGGCGGATTACTCTCGACACGTCACAAAACGTGACGACAAGTAAATGAAGTAGAAAAAGAAACAGATTCGTGAATGGCCTTGGAGGATTCCGGTACTCACGCACGTATCACAATCTCTGATCACACGCATATTGGATTATAGCATAGATTCAAGGTAGAGCATTGTTGCTAATTCAATACGGAAGCCAGTGGAAAGATGGTCCAACTTTCAAAATGATGAGACTGACTTTATCGGTTTCCCTATGAGCGAGCGTGGAAAAAAGCAACCCAAATTACTTCAACTTCCACATCAACATTTCAGGTTCGGTCCGTTCTTGAACCGTGATCTCCGCCATCTTGCGAAAGTGACAATTAGACCTAGTAGTAATGCCGAGATTCATGATGTCCATGATGTACATGTCCTCGATGATACCCTCCTCCTCCTCCGCCACCACCGCCGGAACCGACGTACACAACCACAGGCGGCACCCTACTCCGTTCCCTCTCCCGCATCCTCTCCATCTCGCGCTGGCGTTCGCGCTCTCGCCGACGCTTGTTCTCATAGTAGGCAACCTGGCTGCATCCGTAGACGCAATAGGTCTGATAGTCTTTGATCTGGCGGTTGCATCCTGGGCATCCTTTCGTCATGTTGGCGATGCGCGGGTATATTGGTGTTTTGAGGTTTTTGACTTGGATATGTATTTGCTTTGAGGGATTCTGGTGGTGAGATAGTTAGCTCAATGAATGAGCATTCACTCTGAGCGATGTGATTCTGAGCGTAATTGGCTATTACGATTATCAGAAGAATTTTGGGGGCATCGATCTTCGCATATGGGTGGAAGTCTCCCGGTCTTTTATGCCCTTGGACCCGACCCTTCGACGCAACAACACCATCTCACTCACCAAGGATCAATCTCTAGACCCGATCATGTGCCAATAATCCGCATATCAAGCCTGGTACAAAGTTCGAAGCATCCTGCCTTCAATCCGTCCCCTCTTGTTCTGGCCAAGACGCGTACGTCACAAGCTGATGCAATAAGCACGCATATTGGGCACACTGCGGCTGGTAGGAGCCGAATGTACGAGGCATTGATGCAAGCTGACCATCTCAGAGGACATCTCGTGTACCACAGCATGCGAAGACTCATGATAGTAGGCATTTTAGGGTCGTATTGGTGTCCTGGACGAGGCTGTAGGATTCATTCATAGGGGGTTGAAAACCCGCGCGGGTTATTATGTGATTCTGACCAAGGTGGCACAGCACAGATAGGTGGCAACGTACGGTTTCAATCACCTAGAAGAGATTGATATATGAACTTTGCTTAGTGGTAACGCTACGGCGGGTTACGTAAGTTGGGCTTTTTGAAAGAAGAATGGCCACGGTGATCCCTATAGACATATGTGAACAGGGTGTAGAGTATGTTGTAATTATCTTCATTATCAGCGGCATTAGACAACATGGAAACATCACACTGGAGTTAAAACAAGAGCAGATCAAGTATTAAAACTTCCATTAGGCGTAAACACCGGGTAAAGACTAATGTACAAGCTTGTGCTGCAGGGTATTGTAGTTTCTTCAGCGAGGCCGTTTCTCATAACTCTCAGACTCCAAGACTCCAACAAAACTTCGGTGGAGATAATCATCTCCGATTCTGTAATTCATGGCATACCCATGTGCCATCTAGGCATGCGGTTCTTAGAATAAAATTAGACCATCGCATCGGGGTGGCGGGATCCAGAGCCAACGGGCTTGCGGGTTCCAACGGGCTCGCCGTAGTCGTTCACACCGGCGCCAGTGGAAGCACCATGGCCATGGCCGTGGTGCTTCTCACGGTGCAGGATACCACCACCGCCGCGCTTGCCCCAACCGGCCTTGCGGGTGAAGACAGCATCGTACAACTCAGCCTCGGCACCGTAGTTAAGAGCCTGGCCACGGTTCAGGGGAATGTGGTTGAAGCGGAAGTCCCAGATGGCAGCGTAGGTCATGCGGTAAGAGGAGAAGGCAAAGGTGATTCCGATGGCGGCACCGGCGAAGATGTCATACCAGTTGTGGAACTCGTCAATAGTGAGCGCGCCACCGATGAGGACGGCACCAAGGATGGGGATGTAGGTGATGATCAACTTCCACATGGCGGGGTGGTAGTCGGAAAAGACCTTGAATTTGGCGTTGAGGTACAGGTAGAGGTAGCCGAAGCCGGCGAAGGCAGCGGTGGTGTGTCCACTGGGGAAACTCTCGAGAGAGTCGTTGATCTCCTTCATATCGCCGGTGCAAACCTCCTTGGTAACGTACAAGCTCTGGAATCCAGCGGCGCTGTATCCGGTGCGGGCGATGCCACCCTGGCTAGTAGTGACACGAGACAGATCGGGCTGGCAAGCCTCGAGGAAGTGAGGGCGCAGGCCACCGATGAGGAACTTGATGAAGACCTGGAAAACGGCGGCGCAAATGAGGGAGTAGAGAAGGCCGATGACAGCGTTGTTGACGTCCCAGAAGGAGCGGATGCGGATCTGCATGAGGAGGATGATGCAGATGGGGATGACGGAAGCGAGGAAGGCAGCAAGCCAAATGGGAACGACTTCGTTGCGCATAGGGTAGGCAAATTGAGGGTAGACAACTTCACCATCGGCGAAGGTGACGGCGAAAGAACGGTTCGGGGCAGGAGGTGCCATGTATATCTAGGGATTGTTAGCGATGCTTAGGCAATGTGATATTGAGACGCAATGGAACTTACTCCGAGACCGATAGCACCCATACAGATCATGGTGATAATGTCGATGAGGGTGCCCTTGAGCCATTGCCCGAAGCTGGGACGGGTAGACATGGAGTAAGGCTCAGCGCCGCGGCGCTTGCTGGTGACGCCGTTATGGTGACCGTTGGCGTGGCCGGTGGCAGCAGCGCCTGCGGGCGCCGCCTCACGACGTTTTCCAAAGATGCCCATGTTGATGCTTCTTGATGATGTTGTTGTTGGTGTTGTTGTTCTTGGGTAGTGTGTAGTGTCGTATTAGAGGTCTTGCCAAGCTTTGGTGAAGAAGATGCCAAGACGGGATGGCTGTGCTCGACTGCTTGTGCCTCGCCGGGAGCTGCAAGAAGTGTCTTGGCGAACTGTGATGGATGGAAGGGGTGGCTTGACTGTGAGGGATGAAAGGAGAAGAGTGAGCAGAAGAAGGGGAGGGAGGTCGACTTTAAGCTTAAGGAATAAGGTCCCGGGTCTACAGTCTGTGGCAGGCAAGAACGATGTTGAGGTGACTACCGATACGCTTCCTTCCTCTAGGTATTTGCAGGAGGTAGGTACCTTGGTACTTGCAAATTTGGCTTGACGTCATGTTTGTTTAATCCCAAAATGGGACGAAAAACTTGGGAAGGTGCACACGGTTGGGGGATGTGGGATGTGGGATCGAGGGCAGGCGCGACGCACGCACGGCACGACGCAGCCATACGCAGCCATATGTCATTCCAGCCGCGGCTTCATTTCAGGCTTTTGCTAGGGGCGTAGGCGGTAGGGCGCCGGGGCGTTTGTTACCTCACTTCCATCTTGCACCACAGAATCGGTCCAGAGACCAAGACATGGATATTTGCTGTGTGTATGTGTACCATACGGAGTACCTACCTGTTGCACAACGGACATTGGTTCACTTTCAGCTTCGGGACCTTTTGGGAGGGGGACATTTCAAGCCAGGACCGTTCCTGTTACGCACTAAAACCCCGGATTGTGGCTAGTGACCCAAACTGGCCCAAAAAGTGACTTGTCTGTCTCAGACATTCTGGTCGTCGAATGTGTGTATCCGTACCGTAACCATACGAGTTGCTAGCAGAAAGGAGATGAAAAAACATAGAAAAAAAGAGTCAAGCCACGCGCTACTCAGTGAGGGTACATACTGCGTAAAAGACACCAACGACGTCATGCCGCCTCGGACGCGTGGGCAGTGGGCACATCTACACATCCTTGGCAACGACCGGGCCCGTTCCCGCACTCCACATTGAGCATTTCCATCCCTGTCAACCGGCACCTCAGATCCGACTGCCCCAATCAGAATCCTGGACGACATAAGATTGGAAAAGGTCTGGACTTCCATAGGTTGATGATGATGCGCTACTCGCTGCCAAAGGGCAAAGGGCGTCAAGCCACGCCATACGAGATGAGGCGTAATAATACTGCGTATCTGTTTTTCTTCCTCTCTCTTGTCTGATTCACAGTGGAAAGAATACTTAGCCATCGAGATGTACATGTACTCAGTAACTCAGACAAGATTCTACCAGTGGCCTACGGCAACCTGTTTCCAAGGACATCTGTCTGCACCTAAACTATGGCTGACTGCATTGGGCTTGACAGGGTAACAGGGCGCCAAACGTCCAGAGACGTCTCCCGCAAAAGCGTCGCCGATCCCTTCAACATGTCCTGCAACCTCCGTATCAGGCTTTACAGGCATCTTTTTTTGTCTGTTGGCTCGGCGGGCGTATCAAGACATACATGGATCCACTGTCCGTAACAGAGATGTCATCCTCGGCTCCGCTGTGATGAGTCCCGCAGAGGTATAATCGTTTTGTGAGATGAAAACCTCAAAGCCAGGTTTAGACATACTCAAAATTTGGTTCTAATCCCTGGACATCGGACTGGGGGAGGGTCGTCCGTAAGGCATCATGGTACTCGGGCATTCCAGGGGTCGCTCTCGAGGGGGACCAAAAGGTCCGGGACGTTTGTATCGACGATGGTGTTAGCGTTCCGTGCAACGTGCCCAATTACCTAAGGTAGGTGCGTCTTTGATGTTGCACCACCGCCAGGGGAACTTTGATGACCTGAACAGATTCTTCCTCGAATGGACACGGCAGACACCCTGTTTTCTTTCTTTCTGATTTCGTTCTTTTCCGCACTTTGCATTAGCAAATGTGAACCTTAAGGCTCACACTATTGGCTGTTGTTTCATCAGTCTAGAAAGGGGTGAACCGGTCACAGTTTAGCTCCAGCTCCTGTAGCTTAAACCAGCTTCATGCATTCATATTTTAGACATTTTTGGCATTAAAACCCCGGGCAACAACCTGAAAAGCAATTCTCGATAATACTTATGAGTTACCTAAGCCATTGCCCTTGCTTTGACTCGAGATTAATCGATTTAGTTAATTTTTGGCGGTAGGTAATTCGGCAGTGTTCTAGACAACCATAGCGCTTCCGTTTAGACTTCGTTGCATTCTAATTTCCGAAAGATAATCATGGTTTGTTTTAACTCGGCCGGGACTAATTTTTTGCTCTCGTAGGAAATTCTACTCCGGCAAGCGCGTCGCGCCCATCCCATGGATGATGGATTTTAGATTAGGTATACGATTATGAACTCAAAAAGTCAAGTCACGTTCATGAATATCAAGGATGATAACTTCCAAGCTCGGAAACGCACAAATGATACAATGAATGCAAACGAGTTATCACTGAGAAATCTCACACAACAAAAATCGTGACAGCGGAGTAAACCGACGTCATCCCGCCCCCAATCAAGCTGCCCTGCTCCATGTCACGGCACACGAGATCCGACTTTGCCAATCACATCGTCCCCCATCCTACCTTAATTGCTTGTCGTTCTCTCTGTCCATTATTCCCGTTTAGCTAGCTAGCTACAACTTTCTACCGCACGCGCCACAAATCTCGATTTCAAGAGTTTTGCCATGGCTCGCCTGGCTAATGCGGCACCGCCACACCGCCACAGATTCAAACGCGGCTGGTTCACTGTGACGTTAGTCCGCACGGTACGCTATGCTGGCCACGGGTGACGGACCACAACGCACGTTCATCGATTGACAGAATCCACAGGTCTAAATTCTCCGTCACAGTTGTACGAGAGAGACATCGGTGATCGTTTGGTGCGTTGGTTTAGCCAAGTATCTGTTGCGACGCTTGCGGGCTCCACTGTGAAGCAATACATTGCGCGGCTTCGTGAGATCTTCACATCCTTCTGCCCAAAAGTAACTTTTGGCTCGTCACCTGCTGCAAGGTAGCCAGGCAGGTTTCTCAGCCAGACAGCTAGCACATGCAACCATCACGCCGATGCATGGAAGCCGCAAAGATTTAATATGGCAGAAGAGTTGAATCAATATGGCAAAAGATTGGAATGTCTTGTTGTATTTCCGCCCTCTTCATGCTTCTCCTCCCAAAACGCCAAGCCTATGAATAAAAGGGCTCCGAATATGGTCCCGCCCAGGCGACTCCAGTAAATCCATCATGCCTTCATCCATACTACTATCTCTGCCTCTCCACTTACAGTTGCTTGCCATCATCGACGAAGCATCTGGTTTGTACGGATTACTCTTTTTGGTTTAGACATCATCATCTCTCCTTCCCACGAGATACATCAACGACGCCCGCCGCGGCCCCGGCCAGCACCAGGCATTCCGCCGCCCATGCCCGGCATACCGCCCATACCGCCCATACCCATCTGCTGCATCATGGCCTGCATGTCGGGCATGCCACCACCACCACCTCCGCCGCCGAGCATCTTCATCAGGCTGCCCATATCCGGCATTCCGCCCCCGCCCATGCCTCCGGCGCCGCCCATGCTCTGCAACCGCTTCTGCATGGCCGCCATCTGTTGTGCCTTGTTGCCGCCGCCCATGGCCTGCTGCGCGCGCTGCATGTTCTTCATATTGCCACCCATCTTCTTGGCCATGCCCGCCATCATCCGCTGCTGCGTCAGCAGGTCCTCCACCTCACGTACCGAGGTTCCCGACCCATGAGCGATTCTCGTCATCCGCGTCGGTTGCTCGATAAACATCTTGCCGTCCGAATCGAGCTCCTTGTCCGTCATCGAGTCGCAAATGTAAATCATGCGCTTGAGCTTGGCGCTACCCTCCTCGTCGTCCATGCCCTGCATCATACCGCTCATGCCGGGAATCATGCCCGCCATCTTGGATAACGGTCCCATCTTCATAATGTTGGACAACTGGTCCCGAAGGTCGCGTACCGTGAAGATACCCTCCGTGATATGTTTTATCGTCTCCTTCTGGTCCAGCTTCAAACTTTGCACGTGCTCCACCAGTCCGGCCATGTCGCCCATGCCAAGCAGCTTCTGTACGAATTGTTGTGGTGCGAAACGCTCAAAGTCGAGCATGTGCTCACCCGTACCGATAAAGACGATGGGAGTATGTGTTGCTGCGACGGCGGAAATAGCACCACCACCCGCTGCGTGACCGTCCGTCTTGGTGATGATGATGGCTCCAAAGTCTGCCGATTCCTTGAACGCCTTGGCCTGCGACTCGGCCTGTTGACCGATGGATGCGTCGAGCACCATGATCGTCTCGTCGGGCCGGATTGCCGTCTGAATATCCACCATCTCTTGGAACAAAGCCTCCTCTTGCCTGTGACGACCTGATGTATCCACGATGATGATCTCGAACTTCTCCTTTTTGAACTTTTCGACACCGTCTCTTGCTACCACCGCCGGGTCCGTCTCTGTCAGTGAACCGTAGTATGGGATCTTTGCCTTGGTCGCGTTCTGCTTCAGCTGGTCAAAAGCACCGGCACGGAAGGTATCGGCGCACACCAAGCAGGCCTTGAAGCCTCTCGCCTGGTAATGGCGCGCGAGCTTCGTACATGTCGTCGTTTTACCGGCACCCTGCAGACCAACAAACATGATGATGTTGGACTTGCCCTTCTTGGGCTTGAACGGTTCGGCATGGGGGTCGACGAGCTTGACGAGCTCATCGAAAACGGACTTTTGGATGAGGCGCTTCTTGTTGACGGCGGGCGGGAGCTCCTTGAAGTTGACTGTACTCTTGATCGATTTTCGCAATTGACCGACGAGGCGCACGTTGACGTCGGCTTCGAGGAGGGCGGAGCAAATCTCCTTGAGCATGCCATCGAAAGCCTGCGACGCGGAAACAAATCATGTTAGCTCTTGTTTCTCAAGATATCGTGTGGCGACTGCGACGAATGGTTCTGCGGGGTAGGGATGCGGCGCACCTTTTCGTCGAGGTTGGGCTCTCTGGTGAGATTTGTGACGGCCGTGTTGATGCGGCGACCGAGATCTTGAAGAACCATGGTGGGCGGTTTGCGGCTACCGAGCCGACTTGGGGTATCTCGAAGGGGGTCCTTTTGGTGATGCTCTCGAGGAACGGGAGGACGACGTGTTGCAAATGGGAATTTGGCTTCAGGGTGGGATGTGGATTGCTGCGCTAGCCGTCCACTGCCACCACGCCGGAATCCATGGATGTGACTGGTGAAGCGCCGAGTGTGGGGTTGGTGACCTTGACCGCGGGACATCGGACGCACCGTTTCTCCAGACTCCAGGTATCTCCGTATACTGTGTATACATATCTGCACTGTAACAGCCGGCACTGTGAAGCTATTCCCAGATGTCATGAAATTCGTCCATACATGAACCCACATCCCCGAATATGCACTCATTAATTCTTGGCTACATTGAAACCAATCTTCTCAAAACTCTGGTCGTCAAGGTATAGATGCCAACCACTTTACCTCGAGCCCTGCAAAGTCTAACATCTCAGCGAACATTTAAGCACCTTAACTACTGACTGCAAGATCAATATTCTGGCATGAATTCTATTTAGTGGCGCTCAGATTTCGGCCGTTTCGCGTACGCCTCCCAACCTCAACGGCCCAGTGTCTCTATGCATGTCTGGGGCTGCAAACTCTCGCCCACATTTGCATGTCAACGTTTGACGCCCCTTTCTTCGTCAACACCGTCGTAAGTATGTTGTCCCAAACTAAAAGTCGGCCCAAATGATCTCATGATACCTTTTATAAACATAATCGAGCGTCTCGGCTTCGTTCTTGACCACCGGGAGCCGAACACACAATTGCACTAACCTTTTTGCTTTTATTGCAGGAAATCATTGTCGAGATGCAGCCACACGATTTGAAGCTTGCTATATTCGCGCAAATAGCCCCATACTATCTCGGAAAGGTCCTGTGTGAAAGTTTTGCAGACCAGGACAGAGTAGACTTCCGAGAACACCAGGCTCATATAAAGGCAGTCATGCTCTTCTCAAAAACTACGCACGCGATGGGATTTTTTCAAACTCGCTCTTCTCAGTCATAGAATCGTTTCAAGGAGGTATCGATAAGATGGGAATCTACAAGGGCCCGGTGACTTCGTTTAAGAAGATCACCAAGCTTGTCGTCGCAGCCCTTCTTTCCAATGGAAATACCATACAAGACTATCGCCTCATGGATTCGGCAAAAGTCAACACCATTGACCGCTTTCACGATGGTGCCAGATTCCCCAGAGGCATCGGCACCAATCAGAGCAGCTCTGCGGATGACTACAGAACCGTCTTTAATGCCTGGGAGGTGAACAGCGCCATGAAGGGTCTCGAGAAGGAATATGGCGTCCAGCTCACTCAGGCTCCTTTCGATACCTATTGGAACCAAAAATCCACCGTCGCCTTCCTACCCGTTCCCGACGGTGTCAGCCGCGTGGAGCGCAAAAACTACCGCGTCTACCTCACGGCCGGCGTCCAGGCCCGCGAGCGCGGCGGCCCAGACAGCCTGTTGTACTTCATCTCTGACCTCCTCTGGGCCGACAAGCACAAGGCCTTGCTCGTCTACAACACGACCACCGTCTTTACCCTCGCGTAAGTTCGACAAGTACTGTCTCTCGGCATCGTCATCTTCCCCCTGGTCAACCCAGACGGCAAGCTCTGGGACGAGCGCTGGAATAACTGTTGGGGCAACAACATCAATCCTACGTCCCGCCCCTCTGAGAACAGCGTTAACGGCGTCGGCGTCAATATTGATCGCAACTTCAACTTCACCTGGGACTACCGCAAGATCTACAGCCAGCAGGCTCTCGACGTCGCGTCCGACAAGCCCGAGCACGAGCTCTTCCACGGCCCCGCACCCTTCTCCGAAGCCGAGTCGCGCAACATGGCGTGGGTCATTGACCAGTACCCATCCATCAAATGGTATCTCGACGTGCACACAAAGAACCGCATCGTGAGCCACGCGTGGTCGGACACCCCGATACAGACCACCAACCCTGAAGTGAACTTCCGCAACCAGAGCTACGACGGTAAACGCGGTGACGTGAACACGAAATATGGCGAATACATGACCCCCCAAGACCACGACATCTACAAGGATATCTCGAACAACATGGCCGAGCAAATGGCCAAGGTCTCTGGAGAGCCATTCTACAGCATCGACAAGCTCCGCAAGAAGGGACGGATCTTTCAAGGCTCTTCTGGAACTGCCATCGACTGGGCGTACAGCAGACACGTCGTGAACGCGGCGGCGACCAAGATTATGAGTTTCAAGATAAAGTTTGGCACTTCGGAGGAAGAGGCGGCGGAGATTGGGCAGAAGGGCGGGTGCCAGTACTACCCGTCGCGCAAGATATACAAAAGGGGCATCTCGGAGAGCGCTGTGGGATACATGACCTTCCTTCTCAACGTTGCCAAGTATGAGAATATGAAGGGCCCTTGGCCTTGAACTGAATATTGTGGGCCAAACGAAACGATCCGGGTCATATGTCCAACGGGAATCAACTACTCATTCCCCTCACTTCAGCCAATGGCCCCTAGTTGATCATTTTGTCTATCCTAATACCTCTATGTAGTTCCTCATGTCATTCATGTCATCTCTCATTCCCTAGTCTAGCTGCTTCAACAGCCCGTCATGAATGTTTTGACTTCTTGGGCAAGAACCGGGCTTTCACCCCAGTGAGCATCGCCATGAAGTAGTACTGTATCTCAGATTCAGGCGGCATCTGAACCTCCACATCAAAGTGCTCCAGCAGCGCGGGTATCGTCTTGTAAACGACCAGTTCCGCGAGGTGTCGCCCGGGACACATCCTTCCGCCCCCGCCCCAAGTAAGATTAAACCGTTCCATACCCTTGAGGTCCCTCTCCGAGTCCAGCCAGCGGTCCGGATGGTATTCTTCCGCATCTGGGCCGAATATGAGCGGGTTCCTGTGTAATGAGACAGGGTTGCAGCCGACAGTAGTCCCGGGTGGAAAGGTCTCTCCGTGAACTACAAGTCCTTCAGAGGGCACCGCGCGGGGCAGAGCCATCCCGAGGACAGGATACAACCGTTGTGCCTCCTTAATGGCTGCTTGCGTATAATCTAAACGAATGGCGTTATCATACACCTTGGGATCTTCCGTCGTGGAGCAAATTTCGTCTGAGATTCGCTTCTGCACTTCAGGGTGTGATCCGATCATGGACATGATGGACGTCAGCGCAGAACACATGGTCTCATGCCCTGCTCCAAAATTGGTGATTGCCATTCGACGGAGATACTGTTCCGTGAATTCCGGCTTGTCCTTGTGTAGCTGGATCAGATCCACAAGGAAGTCTTCTTTACGATCATTCTTCGAGACTGGCTTATTCGCCAGGGACGAGGTGACCCTCCGCGAGACCTGCCGGTAGACGCCAGTGAAGAATGGCTTAAAGTTCTTGGGCGTTTTGTACGTCACGCGCCAGAGGTTAGCAAATGTTCTCCCCAATGCTTTGGAGAACAGCTCTGCCTTCACGGCGAGAGGGAAGAGCCCAAAGACGGACTTGCGGCGCCAGCCGAGGTAGCCGTGGGTGCTGGATGAGTGATCTGTGTGGTCGCGGAGGTAGTTTGGTGACCAGGTTAGGACGACGGCCGAGAGGGACTCGACGGCTATGATGTGCATCCATTCCTTGAGGTCTACCTCGGCGCCGTTGAGAGAACGGAGGGTGGTGATCACTCGAGCGAGTACTGCGTCGAGAGCCGGTTCGTGCCGTTTGAGGTATGCTGTTTGGTAGAGAGGTCCGATTAGACGCCGTTGTAAGCGGTATCGTTGCGTGTTGCGTTCGGATAGCAAGTCAAGTGTATCTGGGCATGCAAAGTTTGGAAAGGGTGTGAAAGTGATGTCTGGTCTTTGGAGGGCAGTCGACACTGTTGATTTGGTGTAAGCTGGGAGTGAGGTAAGATGAGGATCGTCATAACGTACAATAGAAATCGGACTTTTCATAACCACTACCGGCTCCTATAAGCGAGTAAGCACGAAATTAAACATCTTTCATGAGGTGTAATCAACATACGATAAATGTGCTTGAACGCATCTACAGAATCAAACCACACCTCATTTGGCCCAACTCTCACAACCGGTCCGTACCGCTTATGAAGCGTCTTTCCCAGCGTGAGCATACGCCCATTGCGAACATGGTAAGCATGCCACACATTGGAAATGGCAGCAAGCCTGGGCCCAGGTACGCGAGCCAAAGGATGAAGAAACAGGCGGTATCCGACGACAATGAAAACGATGAGAATGAATGATGATGACGTGAGTAACACTGCGTTACGGAGAAACGATACTACGCCATAGACGCCGAGCAGCGGGGTGTATCCTCCGAGCGCCGGAGAAGGCATCTCAAGCCCGGCGCTTCGGACGAGAGCTTGCGATAAGGGGGTGGACGGGGATGAGATGTAAGGTAGGATGAGTGAGGTAATACGGATAATGTGGGTGAATATGTGAGTGAGGCAGGGTGCGCGTGATGTGGCGGTTGAGGCTTTGCAGCAAGCGGCGCGCCGCAGAGCAGGAGAAAAATTTCGCGGGGGGGGGGGGGCGGGGGGGGGCGCTGTGGGAGAGCTGCGGCGGGCACACGCCATTCGGACCGGCCCCACTGGCCGGAACGGGGAATCGAATAGGGGGCTGAGCCAATTGGATTTCGGGCGTCGCCGCTGGGTGTCCCTTGCATTCTTTACACTCATGCCTACTACCTTACCCTCGACTATGTATCCATAGTACTACTACAGTACTACTGTGTATTGCATCCTTACCTCAGCTACGTCTTGAATGGCAAGGCAAGGCGGGAGAAGGGATCCGCTAGAGGCTAGATTTCTTGGTCTGCTTTAGAGGGGACCTGGGAAGCTTACGCTTGTGCGGCTGGGATCACATAGGGCTCTTATGCGCCGTCTCAGGGGTGGACCCCGCCGTTTCGCTGCTGGGGAAGCTCCCATGGGCCATAGCTCGCTCGATGGACCGTCTGTGGGTTGCCTCCGGCTTTGGATGCCGAGCGGCGAGCTTTCACGCTACGCAGCTCATGATGGATTATCAGTACTCACTGTGATGTAATTCCACTGAGTATTGTAGTTGGCTCCTAATGTTACTATTCCCGTCGCTCGTTGCGTAAGTGTAAGAAATCCAAGTAAGCACTGCCCTTCTGTAGTCGTCGTATGTCCGGGGAGATAGGGGACTCGACAGACCATGAACAATCAAGTCATTGACTTACTCGAGCTGGCGGCTACAAGGCAAGTGACACTTCCAAGTTCCGATGACAGCTCCCTTTCTCGGTTCATCCTGGATCGACCAAGGGTACCGTTGCAGCGAGATTCGCTCTCAGACCTCGTTCATCCGTCTGGAATTGATCATCGATCTGATGTGCCACGTCAACTCTCCTTCAATACCCAAGTACTCCCGAGACCCTGGAAAGTTCAAAATAGCTTTACCCTTAGGATCCCGTCATCCTAGAATGTTTCAAAGGTTTAGCCGAATTATAAGACGGATCATATAATCTCTCATCACGCCTTTGGTCCTAGCTTTGAAGATTGGTGGAAGAACATCTCTCGTGTATCATCGTGGCCAAGTTGTTTTTTTTCAAGAAGATGAAAAGAAATTGCTAAATGGAAGCCAGCTTCCGTGATATGTCACTTTATTGGCAATGAATAAGAAATTCAATGGGACCTCCTGCAGATCACCGGAATCGCATGTACGGAGTGCTCGAGGCCGCCGTCGGACATTATCTTGGGCACGCAAAGTCTAGGTTGAAACGGCAAATCCCGCTACGGCGGGACAATAAGCCGAAAATCATCATCTAAAGAAAACCCGCAAACGGGGTAATTATTGGATGGAGAAACTCTAGTTGTCGATCTGAACATGGCTTCATATTCTCCGTAATGGTGTCATGCTCCAGAGACTGCCGTCAATTATGCTTCACCTGCATGAGGCTAAATCTCTACTCAGATATCACCAAGGTACAAACACCAATGATTGGCGTAAAAGGGCGGACACTTGCAAACAGCTCCAACCCATGTCTCGTCAACCTGATCACACATCTCGGTTGATCGACGCTTCTTGGTGAGCTTGAATCAAATTGATTGTGGTGTACGTCGCCCTGTTGGAGTAAATCGAGCTAACGGTTTCATCGAGTCTGCAACTCCACTGAAGCATCTTACTACAACTGGATACAATGACTGGACCACGTCAATCCTAATTGGGATGAGCCTTTCGAAAACCAGCTCAACTTTGTGACGAACATGTTCCCTTCCAAGAATAGATGCACGCAACATACGTATGGCTGGCTGAGAACATCAGTCCCTAAGGTGCGTACGCAAACCTAAAGATGGACGACTGGCTGATAGGGAGCTGAGAGTCCACGTCATCGAGGCAAGCTCCATTGTAAGGGAGCATATGGGGGGGCAATGGCATCTTCCGTAGTTTCTAGCGCTTCTTTTCCCAGCCTGTCCCCTTTGATCTCGCTTTGAGTCACAAACACGCAAAAGCTGGTTCTTCTTTTTCTCCCAGCCTCAAGGGTCTGGTGCATGACAACTCCGAAAACTCCCTTTTGGGAAACTTCGGCCATCATCGTCCGATGTTTGTACAATATGCAAGCAATTTGGAGGATAAAGTCGCCAAAAAAAGTGTCAATTGGTGTCAACGCAAGCAATCCCGTCGCCACATTCCTCAAAGCGGTCGACTAATCCGCCCCTGGCCCCGGGCCACCGGCGCAGCCCTTCGGGGCGCTACCCGGGATCCTAATTCGGGAAGTGGGCGGGCTTGCGTGTCCCAGCCCCAAGGGCTGTCTCGGGAGAGAGCTTTTTTGGCCTGTTTGACCCTGCATAGGATTAGGGGGGCCAGAACAACTTGTCAGTGACAGGCGTTAACAGCGTCGAAACCAGACGTTTCGAAACAAACGGTCTCTCGAGGCCAATCGTTCCCAAACTTTCAGACACACTAGACCCGACGAACACCTCCTGTAGTCCCCCATTGCTGGATACTACCAGGCCCCAAAAAGTGGCTTACTGCTGTGTAAACCCTGGTGTCCCTTGTCGGGGCTTCATGGAGCCATCTCACTCAACTTGACACCGCCCTACCGCGGCTGGGCCAACGATGAATGAAGACGGAAAGCCGCGCAAGCAGACATGCCACAGCATACTATGTTCAGTCAAGCATTCGACCAGCTCCCCCACAGGCACAATGGGGCTTTTCTCCGTGCTCTCTCAAGAGTCGATCATAGCGTCACGGAATATTCCCTGATGGGCCCAGCCCGCGATGGAGCCACTGGGGGATCGAATTGCGGAGCTGAGCCGCGTTGTCGTCAACTCTTCGACTCGAAGACGTGCTGAGCATGTCACCTGGGTGTAAGTCGAGCAACTCGAACTACACTAAACCATCCCGTCATCGATGTCAGTATAGTATCGAAAGAAGATATAAACGCATCGGATATCCAACTAACCCAGACTCTTTTTTTCCTTCTCATCACCACACTCATCTCATCTTATCTCTTCTGCATCTTCTTTCTTTTCCTCAACATCCTCACTTGTTCTACCGCAAACCCCCTTCTTTCTTTTTTACCACGAACTCCTCCCTTTTTTTTCAACAACTTCACTTCATTCATTCGCCAGGATGCGTTCCAACCTCATTTTCGCCCTTGTTACCGCCATCGCGGCCATCAGCTCAGCGGCGCCGGCGCCCCAGGCTTCTGGTGCGCCCCCGTCCGGCACTGGGCTGGCCCCCCCACCCCACGGCAGTGGAGCTCCCCCGAGCGGTACTCCTCCCCCGCGCCCCTCCGGCACCGGCCTGCCTCCTAGCGGTGCCCCACCTTCCGGCACTCCCCCGGCTCAGCAGCAGCGCCGCTTCCGTGGCATGATGAACCGTCGCCAGAACTCCGCCCTCCCCTCTGGACCCCCGCCTTCCGGTGCGCCTTCCGGCGCTCCTCCGAGCGGCACTCCCCCTCCTCGCCCCAGCGGCGTCGCTCAGCCCAGCGGTGGCGGCCATGGCGGCTTCGGTGCTCAGGAGGCCGGCGCTAAGCCTACTGGCGCTCCCCCGTCTGGTGCACCTCCCTCCGGCGTCCGCCCGAGTGGTCCTCCCCCCTCTGGAGTTCCTCCTTCTGGTGCTCCCCCCAGCGATGCGCCTGCTCCTACCGGCAACGCAAAGCGTGCTGAGCCCTCCGGTGCTAAGCCGTCTGGACCTCCTCCTTCAGGCGTTCGCCCCAGCGGTCCTCCCCCGAGCGGCGCACCCCCCTCCGGCCTTCCTCCTTCGGGCCCTCCTCCCAGCGATGCCCCTGCGCCCACCGGCAACGCTCGCCGCGCCGAGTCTGCTCCCGCAGGCCCCAAGCCTACTGGCCCTCCCCCGTCTGGAGTGAAGCCTTCCGGTCCTCCTCCTTCTGGTGCCCCTCCTTCGGGTGCCCCGCCCTCTGGAGCTCCCCCCTCTGGAGCTCCCGCTCCCACTGGCAATGCTCGCCGTGCTGAGTCTGCTCCCCCGGCCAAGCCCTCTGGCGAGTCTGGACCTCCCCCTTCAGGAGTTCGCCCCAGCGGCCCTCCTCCCTCCGGTGCTCCTCCTTCTGGTGCTCCCCCCAGCGGCGCTCCTAAGCCTACCAACGCCAAGCGTGCCGATGAGTCTGCTCCCGCCGGTCCCAAGCCTACCGGTCCCCCGCCTTCTGGAGTGAAGCCCTCCGGCCCCCCTCCTTCCGGCGCTCCTTCCGGCGCCCCTCCCTCCGGTGCCCCTCCTTCTGGTGCTCCCGCTCCTACTGGCAATGCTCGCCGCGCTGAGGACGCCGCTCCTACCGGCACTAAGCCCACTGGCGCTCCTCCCTCCGGTACTCCTCCCTCTGGCACCCCTCCTCCTCGTCCCAGCGGTGCTCAGGCTGAGGGCGCCGCTCCCAGCGGAACCCCTCCTCCCAAGCCTACCGGCACTCCCACCGGCCCTCCCCCTTCTGGAGCTCCTCCCGCTCCTACCCAGAGCGCTTAAATAGCTCTCCCGCTAGAGAGCTACGACGACGATCATCAACGATAGACTTGAAGCCATCGGTTCAGCCCGCACAGAAGCAGCGAATTTGATACCATCTTGAGTCTGGGTTTGTCTTACCAGGAGACATTGAACCATGGCTGTCAAGCATTGGAAGTAGGAAAAGAGAAGAAAAGGTGGATGTTGACATGAGACATGGGACAGTTGACGACGATGGCGGTGATCACTTGGCTAGTCATTTTTGCTTTGTAGATATTGGTTGAGATTTTTGTGGGCATTTGTATCATAGCATTTCCTTTGAGAAAACCTGAGAATAACAGCGCTGTTACCCGAAATCGCTTCCAGCCTTTTTGGCTAGTTTACTTTGCAATAAAGACCCAATTGATGTTCAGTTGCATTGAACTTGTGGGTACGTTTTTTTAAACTGTTGCCTAACAGTTCCCGATTTTGTCATACACGTGGCTGGCAATCTTGGGTTACGACGAAAACATAAAGTCTCAGCTCCAAGTTTTAGTTGAGAAAAGGAAAAGTAGGAGGGTCGTATCGCCAGCCGTTGAACTAATGCATGCAGTCATCAAGGGGCCCCAGAATATCAAACTCTTCTCGTCTTGCATGATTGGTAGAACTGTACGAATGGTTGATGTCCAGGGGACCTGGCCGTCAGCTTGCATGCATACGCCAGGGGTAACACTCCATATCACATGGCATCATTAGATCCTTCAATTCCTTCCGTCTCATGGCTGGCGGCTGTTGCACCTCAGCTCGGATCCGGGCTGGGGTTTTCAGAGACACGATAGCAAGCCCATCAGTCGATGTGCCAGGCAGCAGGCTTAGCCAAAACTCAAAAGACTTTAAGATAGACGCTATCCTCGCAAGATGCGCTAGGGTAGATGTTCCTTCGCGTTGTGGGCTAGACATCTTAATGATCCCTTCACGAACGACCTTTCTTGACCCTAGCCCCCGAAAACGAGTGATCCTGACTCGGACGATCGCGAAGTTCTATATCGACAATGATTTCTCAACCCCAGTCGACGGGTGGCCCGCAAAAGGATGACCTAATTCGTCAAGACGACGCAGGGCATCGAACCTCTCACAAAACCGTGCCCAAGGTCGTGGAATCTCAGCTGGATGGTTACAGCATCTTACCAGCTAGAGAGGATACCCTTGACAGCGTGGGGGAGCCTCCCGCATACTCAACTGTGAGATGGTGGTACTTGGAGATAGGATGTTGCTTTCTCGCCATTGCAAGTCTCGTCGCTCAGGCAATCGTCCTATGGCAGTACGATGGCAAACCACAAGATGCGTGGCCAAGCACGACCCTGACCCTCAACGGTCTGATCGCGATTTTATCTACCGTCTGCCGCGCGACCTTCATGATCGCTGTTGGTGCCATTCTCAGCCAGGCGAAATGGAATCATTTCTCTGGAAAGAAGAGCGGATACCATAGGCTGGATGACTTTACATTGATCGACGACGCCTCGAGAGGTTCATGGGGCAGCTTGCAGTTGATATGGAGGTTTAAGGGAGCGTGAGTATTGAATCGTACCTAGAAACTAATCAATGCTGATGGCAAATTTAGGCACATTGCTTGCGTTGGAGCTGTATTGACAATGTTGTCACTTGCTTTGGGCTTCTTCTCCCAGCAATTGATTACTTTGCGGGTAGATCAGGTTGTGAGCAACACACAAGGCCAAGCAGGCACCGTTGCTAGAAGTCAGTGGGCAAGCACGGTGTCGGGATATTCCAACTCTTGTAAGTCGCTCTCTTCTAGAGTTCGAGATACAATCCTTCTATTCGTCACATGTTCATAACACTCCATGTTCTCTCAGGGAGCCCCCTATCACCAACGAAACTTGCCATGTACAACGGGTTCATGTCTACAGAGGTCAACTTGCCACAAGTGACCTGCCCAACTGGAAACTGCACTTGGCCCATCGTTCCGACTGTTGGCGTCTGTGGCTCGTGTGTCGACTTAACATCGGAAATCAAAATCAACAGAAGCTCTTCTGCGAATTGCCTTGTGACTGCGCCGGATGGTGCGCGCCTTAGTGGATACTGCGGCACAGGATCCGACTTTATGCCCGTATTCAACATCAGCACTGGCTCGAACCGCACCTTTAAATCCACAGATCCTCAAATGATCAAGGCTGACGCGCCCAATCTGATTGCGCAGTTCAGCGGTCTCGGTATCCCTGGCGGGATGCCAGCGACGACCCCTCTTGATGACTCCCGCGCAGCGGAGTGTGCTCTGTGGTATTGCCTCCAGGCGAGGAACATCAGTGTAGAGTCTGGACAGCTGAAGGACGAGATCGTCGATACCTGGAGTGAGGTGACCGGAGGCTCGACTCCCGACGGGCGAAACGTCACGTTCGCCAATATCCCGGCCAACTTCAACACCGAGGCTGGCAAGAGCTACGGAATGGGCCCGTTCCAGATGTACGCCATGCAGGCATACGCAAAGACAAACATCATAGGAAACGTCAGCGCCGATGGAACTTTGGGAATTGTTTTCACGTCGGCGTCTCCCTTTGCGGACGGAATGCACGCCAGTTTCGGGGACGTCGGCAGCTGGATGGAGAGACTTACAAGAAGCTTGACCAACGACGTGCGCCTGAACAGTAACGACACTACAGCTAAAGACGCTTTCAGAGGCACCGTGATGGCCAGCCAGGTTGTCATTGTAGTGCGCTGGGCTTGGATCGTGTACTCTGTTGCCCTGGTCGCTGTGTCGGTGATTTATCTCGGGGCTGAGGTTGTGCGAACGAAGAGAAAAGGACTACTGCCATGGAAGTCTGATGTACTTTTGCCAGTTTGCATGAACATGGATGATGAGATCAGGGAGAAAGCATCTGGAGGCATTATCGAGCCGGGCGGTCTGAAGAGACTGGTCGGAGATGTCGCGGTTCAGCTGAAGGCTGACAGGACAGGCGTTATCAGGTTCGCACAAGAGGTCAAGACCGATGGAACCCATTCGCCTTGATAAAATGCCAATCAGTGGTTTGCTAGGTAGATCTGAACCTGTTCTCGGGCTCGGTCCGAGGACATGATCGAGGCATGTCTACTAGTTGAGATATGGAGTGCGACGATAATGAGGAGTCATGATGGATGTATTGGACTGAAGCCCCTATGAAGAAACGAATTTACAATGAACCAGCCAGCTGCCTACTTATTTACTTTCCAGCCGGAGTTTACGCCTTGGCATCGAGAACGTGCGATTCATTCGCGCTGACCTTGCTATGCATGATCATCACTGAATCTTTGTCGCAGAACTCGATAACCTTCGTGACCTTGGAACCGTCCTCGTTAAAGTCAAAGAACCAACTGAACTCCAATTGAAGATTCTCTGAGCCATCTTTGAATTTGATATCCGAAGTTGACGTAAGTGCGGCCTTTCGAGCTTCGGAGTCGACGACGAGGTTTGAAACCGTGGTGGCACCGACTACGAAGACGGCGATGTCCTTGGCGAACTGTGTTGCGTAGGCTGCGTTGTCGAGGATGAAGTCGCCCGGTATGCCAAATGCTTTGGTCATGGAACGGGGGAGCAGTTGGCGGGTGCAGTCTGGGGTGACCTCGCGGTTGATGATCGAGGCGTCGTTCTGCTTCTCGCCGTCTGTGTATGCCTCAAAGAAGGACTTGATCGTCGCCTCGACTTTTTGCCTGAACGCCATATTTGGGGACTTGGTATAGCGAAATGCGTTGAATCGAAGGTGGAAAAGTGAAGAATCAATGGCGAGGGCCTTCGATTGTTATCGGTGTGCTGGCATCTTCTTATATGCATCTCTGGCAGGTGTTTCAATAATCTCACAGGATTTGGACTCGTTTCATCTCACGTCATCCTATTAGCTCCAAGACCATTGAGAGTCCACATACCCCGCGAAGTGATGATTAGCGTACTAATTACGCCTCTTTCTGCATTAGGCATGGGACACTCGGCATTCTATTCAAGGACTGGGGACGATGTTGTCTTGGGGACTTTTGTCAACAAAAGACCATACGGCATACCCGATGGGATTTTTGATCGCTCGTCATCAAATCGCCCGCAATTACTATTCAATGAGAGTTGATGGTATGTTTCTCAGTGGACGTGTTGTTCGATACTTGCAGAACAGGAAATCCGCCGGGACTGCTTACTGCCCCTCTAAAGCCATCTTCTCATAGGCCAGTGAGGTCCGGTGCATCACGTACTGGCAGGATAAATAACCCCGTTGAACAAGGAGTCTGCCAAGGCACCTGACGCGTCAATGTGGTGTATCTGATTCTGGCCATGTTCATTCGGTGCCAGTAGGGTGTCTTCAGTATCATCTGACCATACTCCAATGGCCGATGATTCGATGCCGAGGATCAAGCTTGGTTAGCTCTTGACGAGAAGATAATCCAGTGTAGGGCCTTGCCTTGGGCCTTGTCTTCGTTGGATTCAGTGACTTATGACGGCTGAGATGTCGTACTAACAAAACAAGGGCGTTGTTGGCCCCCTCCCAAACTTCGGGGCCAGAGATTACGGCCCGCGACGTTCTATGATATAACAATAACTTTGATACCGGCCTTCTACGTTCCCAGGCTCAGCCAAAGTATTAGTACGATGTTGTTCGGCTTTGCGGGCTTTAGGGATCACCTCAAATGGGATGCGGAATGAAAAATGCATGACTTCGGGACCTATGAGCCTGCTGCTTAACATCGCTAGCTACTTGCCCAAGGCCTTGCTGAAATTTATTCTCATTATTGGACTTAAGATTTCGTTTGGCTAACTTATCAATATCTTCATGCGACAGGCAATGTTACTACTGGCCTCGTAATCCTACCTAATTACATTTCATATCGCGAACTTCGAAGATACCTTATATAGCTCTGATATGTACATGTAGCTGCGGCTGAAAAATCCGATGAAGAAATCAAATGTTATTACCATGGCCTCCAAGCGCTAAGTGTGATTCACTTGAGAATGCAATATTCAACGTTTGAGGTCTGTCACACCTAAGTACCTTGATGAGTCGGTACATAGAGTGCAAAACACAAACTACAACCTCACGACCCCTAGAAATGTTTGTTCAACTTTAAGGACGATTGGTCTACACCTAGACCGCTAGTTAATTACACCATGCTGAACGATGGCAACAGTCATGACAACCGTGTCGGAGTAAGCCAAGTCTATGCTTTAACATGCAACAGCTGTTGCGGAACAGAGACTACATAGAGAAGATATCACTCGTGAACCTCCACTACGCAAAGAAGCATCTTGGATTTTATTTTCGATTTGGTGGAATGATCACCAACGTGATAGCATTTGGCAGAGGAGACCTCCGGTTATCCCCACAAGATAGCGTCAGACATCGGCCAAGCCCGCTGATTTGCCTCTCGGAAGGGAACCGAAGCTCAATCGTTTCGGCTTCTCTCCCCTTGATCTGTCCCATCTATAAAAAGGACGCCCCTCGTCCCAAGAGACTAGAGACGTTCAGGTCGAGCGTCCTTCAGAAGACAAGAATTTTTGTTGGAGCTTTCTTCCAGTCTATTGGCTGGTGCGTCTTATCAGCGATGTTCGGAGCTGGAAGCCGATGGTGGGTCCTGGCTACAAGCGGATCGGATGGCTGCCGAAGGGCGAATGTTGTGATTAAGACAGTCTTGCCGCCTCTGTGCCATGTTACGCCGCGGATCTTTCTCTTTGACAAGCCAATTGTCCCAAACATTTGATTCAGTCCCCAGTTCCTTTGGGAGATTACACAAACAATACAGCACTTTGTTGAAGATTCTTGGCAAGATCACCGCATCATTTGCCAGCGCGCAATTGTATACTCATTTGCTGCATCAAGCGGTATACGTACACGACTTGCAGTAAACCGGGTTATCACACCGCATAGTAAAATGTCGAGTAGCAGCTACCGGGGCTCGTTATCGCCGACCCCAGACCCCTCATCCAAGGCAAGTTCGGCTCTTATCAGCCCCACACTCTCAATTGCCGCAGCGACCTCCATCACATGAAGACTTTGCAAACTTACCGGTGAACGGAACGGGCAGCAGTCTCACAAGGTGTCAGGAGCCTCTTCTTCGAGTCGGAAGAGGAAAAGACGCATCAAAGACGAGGTCGAGGAAGAAGGCGCGATGCCTCAGCAAGCTGCCGCCAAAGCACGGTCTGCGAACGCGTCAGTCACCACTTACCCTCAATTCGCCCGCCCTTCACTCACCCCACCAAACTCCACCGCTGTGACGTGTTTGCCATGCTGACTGCCGTATTAGATGCAACACATGCCGGAGGCGCAAGGTCAAGTGTTCAGGAGAGCAGCCTTGCAGGAATTGTGCACGAAACAACCTAGACTGTGAATTTGGTGATGGGAGAAAGAGATATTCAGAGGCGTGAGTCCACTCCGAGGTCGGACTTCTCCAACTCGCTAAGTCGGTGAACAGATACGTCTCAGAATTGAGAGCCACGTTGACTCGATATGAGGACCAAATAAAGGGCGAGTTATCACAGCTGATACCTTGCAGCTAGCAATTGCTGGAAATGGGAAAAATTCGGACTAATATCAACCAGAACTCGCCAAACAACCACGAGCACAACCTTCGCCACCTGCCAGGGGGGTATCAACAGGGGCATCAAATCCGAGTCCACCAGGCATTGCGCCGTTTGAGCCCACTGGTGAAGTCCCGCCTCCAAGTTATGGTGCGTAACCTCGGCCTGCAATTGGATTCTAAACAATAACTAAGGCGCAAGACATAGCGTCCATAGAACGTGCCCCTGGCCCGCTCTTCGAGCAACGGTTGCGGAGTCTCTTCCACGAAAACAATGGCAAAGACCCAGACTCTCCCGAGAAAGATGCTCCGGAGCATTTGGAGAACGAAGATCCGCGTGATCTGCCGTTTACCCCTGAATGGACTTCAACAAATGAGTTGATCAAGGGCATTCCTCACCAAGCCTTCCCCAAGGAAGCTGAATCTAATCGTCTCCTGAACCTCTTCAACTCCTATATGGGAGTTACACAACACTTCTTAGACCAGCGGACATTCACAGACAACATGACGCTACTTTTCAACAGCCAAGCGTCTCGAGCTCGACAGACGGACACACCATGGTTCACACTGTACCTTCTAGTCATGGCCATGGGCAAGTTGATGGAGGAGGATCCGCGCGAGGTTCGAGGACCCCCGGGAGCGTTCTGGTTTGCTGAGGCCATGAGGAGGTTACCGCCTCTTCACAGCATCAGCGAGTACGGCATCGTAGGGCTCGAGATTCTATGTTTGGCGACGACATATCTGCAGTGGAATGACCGGAAGAATGACGCATACTTTTTCGTAAGTCCAGAATGTATGATGCTGGATCAGATGGAAAACTAACAAGCCGCAGGTGGGAACAACAGTACGGCTTGCTCTGACTCTGGGCTGCAACTTGCCATTTTCAGAGCAGAAGTGCCTACCATCAGAGAGAGCACATAGAATGCGGGTGTGGTGGACTGTCTACATGCTGGATCAGTAAGTCAACCACGCTTACCCATCATGAGTTCTAAGCTAACCATCTATTCCCAATTAGGCGCATATCGGCAGGCCTCGGGCGTCCAGCTTCCGTTGATGATAGGCACCTTTCATTCGATCTCCCTGGTCCCTCTCCAGGGTTTGATTCTCCAGAGCCTCTCAATGTTAATGTGAAAATTGCGCGGACAACTGGAGAGATCATGTCATGTAAGTTAATTTTACAGCATGTCTGTCTTGATTGTCATTTTGTATGGCCGGTAGTTGACCACCGCGATCAACAGCATTATATAGTCGAGGCGCATTATCGCAAGCCGACCTTGTCAGGAAGATGAGAAACTTGCTTCAATCACTACACGACATTGGCGGATCTATCCCGGCAGATCTTGCCATAGACTTCAGCAACAAGCAGTTTGAGGTCACCAGAGCTGGCGCATCACTCTATCTGAGGTTATTCCAGGTAAGCATCAACTGTTATCTCTTTCTAGGGAAATATTTTGGCTTTTACTGCGGTAAACGGGCACTAATACGACCCAAATTAGTCCATCATTCTTTGCATTAGACCAATCCTCCTCCAAAAGGTCAAAGACAAGGTTCAGAAAACACAGAAGCAAGCCGTGACCTCGGCAATCTCCCAGCTATGCCTTCTTTGCAACGAATCGGCTTTGAGAATCATCCGCATTCTCATGGCTATGCAAAGGCAAGAAGAAATTGGTAAGGGCTCATTTCTCCCTGGTGACAGATTTGAAGGATGAATTATTAACAAGTCGAAGCGCCGTTCGCATTCTTCGATCTGGATGCTGCCTTTTCAGCCGCCTTCGTCCTAATCATGCGCGGCTTCGCACACAAGCAGGACAGCCAGAAGCCGCCACCGCAAGAACTCTTCCAGGCTATTGATTTCTTGGAGTACCTGTCCTCTGCCGGAAACCAGGCTGCAGCTCAGCGTCTCAAGGATGTTCGGCAGTTCTCTGCACACGTGTGGGCCAATGTGGTAGCGTTCGATAAGGACCATGACGTGCAGATGGGAGAATCCGGGGCGTCCCATGGGGTACCCCAGGTGGGGAACACACCCGGGGCCGGACTACCGGAGCAGTCGGGACCTTCACCGGCCCAGATGCCCTTGACTACGCCGACGCCTAGCTCCTCGGTGCCGTCTTGGGAGGGAGAAATGTTCGGGGGACCTGCAGATACTTATGGATCAGACACATTATTCGGTCTGAACTTGGATGAGAATCTGGAACAAGCCTTTGGGCTGGAAGCGGCAGAGGGTATCTACAATAGTTTCAACGACCCAACTCTCCCCTTAACGGGAGTCGACCAGCTGGATTGGGCTGAGCTGGAAAAGATGATGGCACCAGGAGGGTATGGTTCATAGTCGCTACAAATAATGTCAAATGGAATCGAAACATTATCAATCAACGCAAATAGCTCGGGAATTCTCGCTCGCCAGTGACGTACGAATTGCCTCTGCATTGACAGAGTCCGAAGTATAACTTTCTCCGTTCGACCGTGGTGGACGATCTGGGCGAGTGGGGCCAATCGGATGACGGCCGCCTCCGGTTCGGGTACCGAGCCGAGAATCTTCACCAAATTCCGCAATGATTCAGAACACCATCGGAATAGAGCCGAGCTTCTAATGATGCGCCATTAACCGTGAGAAGAGTACTTAATATCTGGCGATAACCTCTTAGAGATCATGAGTGAATATAGAGCCGTATCTCGAAGTGAACATTGAACGCTGGATATCCGTAGATCTGTGTTCAAGTATCCATATACAACTTCCACAATGGTTCAATCAACACTAGACAGTGTCTCCATCCTTGGCGCCGGCAACGAAGCCTCTCGCCGAATCCTCACCAAGGAAGCCGTCAACTTCCTTGCAATCTTGCATCGCAGTTTCGAGCCGACCCGCCAACACCTTCTCAAGCTCCGCCAACAACGTCAAATCGACACAGATAACGGACACCTGCCAGATTTCCTCCCTGAGACTAAGCACGTTCGCGACGACAAGAACTGGAGGGGCGCTCAGCCAGCGCCTGGTTTGGTGGATCGCAGAGTTGAGATAACCGGACCCACGGACAGGAAAATGGTCGTCAACGCTCTCAACTCTGACGTTTGGGCTTACATGGCCGATTTTGAAGGTGATATGAGAAGCCCCTGAAACCGTTAGTTGTATTTCGACTGACATCGATTAGACTCAAATGGTCCTACATGGGACAACATGATTCAAGGCCAGGCTAATCTGTACGACGCCATCCGCCGACAAGTCGACTTCAAGCTCGGCGAAAAGGAGTACAAGCTCAGAACTGATCGCACTCTCCCGACATTAATCGCCCGCACGCGTGGATGGCACTTGGATGAGAAGCATTTCACAGTCGACGGACAGCCCATGTCCGGCGCCCTCTTTGATTTCGGACTGTACTTTTTCCACAATGCCAAGGAGTTGATTTCCCGCGGCGCCGGCCCCTATTTCTACCTGCCCAAGATGGAGTCGCATCTCGAGGCGAGGTTATGGAACGACGTGTTTAATATGTCGCAGGATTACATTGGTATCTCGAGAGGCACCATCCGCGCTACCGTGTTGATCGAGACCATCAGCGCTGTTTTCGAAATGGATGAGGTTCGTATCAATCGACGATCACAAGAGTAGCCCCCTCACTAACTTGCTTCAAAGATCATTTACGAGCTCAGAGACCATAGCTCTGGCCTCAACTGCGGCAGATGGGACTACATCTTCACCTTTGTCAAGCGCTTCCGCAACCGTCCCGGCTTCGTCCTCCCCGACCGCTCCGACGTCAGCATGACCGTCCCCTTCATGGACGCCTACGTCAAGCTCCTCATCAGCACATGCCACGCCCGCGGGGTCCACGCAATGGGCGGCATGGCGGCCCTCATCCCGCGCAAGGACGACCCGGCCGCGAACGCCTTGGCGATGGACAGTGTGCGCGCCGACAAGCTGCGCGAGGTCAAGGCCGGACACGACGGTACCTGGGTCGCGCACCCGGCGCTGGCGTCGATTGCGTCGGAGATCTTCAACGAGCACATGCCTACCGCGAACCAGATCTTCAAGAGGCCCGAGGTGAAGGTCACGCGAGACGACTTGATTAACTCTGTTGTTCCTGGAAAGGTTACCGATGAGGGCGTGAGGAAGAACTTGCATATTACTCTGGCGTATATGGAGGGTTGGCTTCGTGGTGTGGGCTGCAGTGCCATCAATTATCTCATGGTATGTTTCAACTGCTACTTTCGGCCCCTCTTGGGACATATCTAACAAGACTTGCAGGAGGACGCCGCAACAGCTGAGGTGTCGCGCTCACAACTGTGGTACTGGGTGCACCATGGCGTCAGCACCGCTGAAGGCACCAAACTCGACAAGACGACAATGCTCAACGTCCTCGACGAGGTCACAAAGGAACTGCTCAAGTCTGCGCCGACGAACAACAAGTTTGAGCTGGCGGCAAAATACCTGCGGCCGCAAGTTACGGGCGAGGACTACGCCGACTTCCTTACAACGTGAGTCACTACTGCTTCTGTATGATTGCCGTCCAACTCTAACAGTGCCGCTTCTAGACTCCTCTATGATGAGATTACTTCTGTTGGGCCGTCATGGAAACTTTAGATCTTTAGCCAGCGATGCTTTTTTGTATGATTAATGAAACCGATTGAATGGCGCTGCTGTCCACAATGTACGCTGCGTATGACTACAATATGAGTTCCGGAGCACTTACAAGCAACATGAAACTCTGCTATCACTTTCTCTCGTAAATTCTAGTGGAATTGGGACCTGTAAACGCCAAAAAACGACTTGGGCCTGATTCGAACAGACGCTCCCGAAGGAACAAGATTTCTAGTCTTGCGCATTAGACCACTCTGCCACCAAGCCGTGATCCCAAATCCGCTGACGCGGGTTGATTGGATTGGGAGCCGAGATCTGCGACCTTGTATCTTGGTGGGCGCCGACTGGAGAAACGGAAAAGGCCCTACGAATGGTGCGTTGCCTGCCCCAATTTCCAACCTCGAACCTCCTAGGTGTGACTTCTCATTGTGTTGAGCCAATGATCATGAACCTTACACACGTTCTTATTAGCCTTTCTTTTCCGTCCAAAGTAGCTGGATTGGGCCGTCTGAAGTTTGGAACGGCTTCTATCGTGCATGGATAGTCAAGGTACACTTCTTCAACGGTGCTTTGGGGGGGAAGGGGTTGAAGCACGACATTTGACCATTAATTCATACGTAGAAGGTTTAGAATAATGCTTGCAAGAAATTTAGCTCGACTAGCAGCAGGCATTATTCAGAAAGGAAGACGGCCAAGGCGAGCCGCAAAAGTACTGGAAGTCAAGTAAGTTGAGAAACGCTTTCGAAAGCCCCTGTCAAATCACGTGGTGGACCTGTTCACTTCGCGTAAATGTGGAGAATTCAACCCTTCCCGATAGAAGTCTCGATAGCCGCGTTGGGCTTAATTCGTCACTCTCACCGAGTCCCGGTCTCGTGCAACAATCGACTGGGCTCTTTGTGAGCCCCCTATTAATATCAACATGGCCTCCTCTTCATCCCAGTCTTACAGAAAGTTCAAGAAGCTGGAAATGACCGTCGCTACAGCGCGCGAACTAGGCTTCGAGTACGATTGGAACAATGGCCTCCTGATGTTTGGGGACTATTGGTGCATGGAAATCAAGCGTCTCCGCGAAATGTTGTCCCCCGATCATCCTGGTTATGACGATGTCTGGGATCAGAGAGAATTTGAAGCCGATAAGTCGTACCTTCGGGACAAGAAGTGGTTTGTCGCGCAGTCAAAGTATTACGGCCTTCGACTAGGCGATGTGAAGATGAAGACTCTGCGCAGTCTGCGCCATGATTTGGCCGAGTTGGTCAGAATGGGTGCGGTGCGTCGTTCAAATCCTTCGGCAACCGAGAATGGACATCTGACCTGAACGCCTCATTCTTAGTGCGACACGCTCAGCAAACCTGTAGCCGCTTTCTACGAGGCTTTCAGAGAGATGGAGGACATTCAGAAAAGTCATGTTGAGATCTTCGATGGGCTCACAACCCTGGAGGACCAAATTGCATTCGATGTTGAACTCTTCGCGCGGCGCTATTTCGCACCAAACGGAACACCCGATCCAACCATCACTCCCACGCCAATGTCACTTCGCAACCTTACTAGCGACACTAGGTCTCTACTGGGCCGCTTCGATGAGATCGACGGTCTTGAATGCAGAGTGATTGATGTGAACGATACCGAGTACTGGGCCATTCTTGGCTGGGACCAACAAGCTGTCGAGGACGCAGTGCGTTCAGCTAGGGAGTTGTTGATAGAGAGATCCGACAAAGCGATAGCCGACGGCGCTTTCGACCTAGTCGCGAGCGAGATGGAGAAGCATCACAGATATATCCTCAGCAACCTCACGCCACCAGAAATTGACTACCGCGTTGATGGGAAGGAATTTTTAGTCAAACCGGAAGGGACTCCGATGCGGCTCGAGGATGCCCTTGGCAACTTCCTTGTGCAGGGCGTCATGGTAGAAAAAGAGTATGCATCTGTGAACCCAACGGGTTTGGAACTCAACATCAGACCGTTTTCGTCTCCAGTTGAGGATGACGGCCTGTTAGTTGGGGACATGAGGTTCGGCGAATTTGAAGGGACCGCGATCCTCTCTTTTGCCTACGACCGGATGCCGATTGTCCAGTCAAGGCATGTGACTCCGTCAGTGGGGTTCGAAATCGTAGATGGCCTTGATACTATGTGGCAGAGCTTGTCGCTGTTTAAGAATTTTTCCAAAGGCGGCACGGACGAGGTCATTCGGGAGGCTCTCGAGGCCGTGAAAAGACGAAATCACTTCCGGGAGCCACGGCAGAACTGGCGACTGCCAAAATCGCGCAAGCCAAACCCATGGTTTCCGCACAGTGGCGCTCGGCGGCTTTGTTTCTGCGCAAAGGGCTGGAATGACGCTAAGGACAGTGTCATGGAGTTCAAGAAGGGAGTGCTCGATTTCAACCCGTCTTGCACCCGGTTTAAAGGCGTCATCACAATGTTTGAAAACAATGAATTGTACAAGTTGAAGGGCTTCAAGGTAGAAGACTACTCGCCTACGCAGTGGGAATCCGAGGAATACGACGACATGGGGTCGTGGACGACTGAAGGGTCGTCTATGTCGGGAGAATTATCTACGTCTGAAGAGTCAACCACGTCGGGTAACTCACCTGCGTCGGGAGACTCATCTCCATCGGGAAACTCATCTGCGTCTGGGGAGTCATCTTCAGACTCTGGGGAGTCGTCTTCAGACGTTGACATGACCTAAGGAACCTGTAGGTTCCAAGTACCAGTGAGAAGAGAGCTGGATTATGGATCACTTTTCTTTGCTGAATTCCTTCCATGGATGTTAGTAAACAATACCTAATTCTGTAGCTTCGATTAAGACTGCTGAGAGCTATGGTCTTGAATTACATTTGTGAGGCGTCGGATATGGCTACCTCGAATCCAACTGTTGTTTCATCTGGCTCTCGTGTGCAACCTTATGTTAAGTTGTGATTATCTCCTTCCAATGCAATCAGTGCAGTACTCAGGTGCCAATATTAAGCACCCAAGAAGAACTATATGACTTCTTAAGCCTCGATGTCTCAAGTAAATCGTGCTAATATAAGCAACAGGTCAAATTGATGATAACTTGCTCAATCCAGTTGTTGTGTGCCATTCGGTAATGTCAGCAGCCCTTCCAGGTCTTTCTTTTCCTTGTCTAGACAACAAATTTGTCATTCCGCCGATTCTTTACTTCGTGAGTCCATGTGTATTGGACACAACCCTGAGGTCTTGTCCAATCGAAAAGCCACACAATAGAAATTTCAAAACCATGGAACCTGACTGGTAAAACTTTCCGGTTCAAAGACCAAAAGGGTAGCCAGAACAAATGCCGAAGCCCCTCTCGGCTGGTACGGAACCAATCCTTTCAACGCCTTTACATTCTGCTTCAAAAACGGCACCGTTGACTCCAGCTAGCAATCAACGCCGTTTCTACCCTACGATACATCCAGCTGTGCAGCGTTCCTGCGATGCTGCATCCATACGCGATATTCAACTAAGCTGCCCCGACTCCACCGCTCCCGTTCAGAAAATGGGCGACGAAGACTTGGAGAAATCGGCGAAATGCGTCCTTCCCTATAGGGAGCGTGATGAGCATCAAGACACATACGAGCTCATGCCGCTTCCAGGTCCGCCTCCAGATCCGGATCATCACAGGTTCGCGGAGGTTCCCATAAAGATTAAGTCCAAACGCGTCAGGCTCGTCAGAAGACTCCAAAGGAAACCACAATTATACAGACTTGTGCCCATTCCAAATTCGACTTTTCACCAATTCGCGAAATTGCCCGACAAGATCAAGTTCAGAATTTGGCGCGAGTTTTACTTGGAACCTAGATACTACATCGCAGAACTTCATCCAAAAGACGATGACATAGAAGGCGAGGATTACGACTGGGATGTGGAATCGTACGATGCGGAATCGTCAGGCGAAGAGCCTTCTGAAAATAACACAACCGAAGAGGATGCCTCCAAGAGGAGGACTCCTGAGGGTCATTCTCCAATGAAAAATACTCCACAGACCGACGCGCTAGATGCCAATGCTCCCAAGGGGCAACCATATGACGAGTATCTATCCGATGAATATAGTTCGGAAGAGGATGAAGGTTCGGAGGATGAAGCTAACGAGGATCGAGCCGCCGAGAATGAAGCTACCGAGAATGAAGCTGCCGAGAATGAAGCTGCCGAGAATGGAGCTGTTGAAAGCAGGGGCTGCAGAGCTGCCTGTGGTAGAACCATCGACAATCAATCCGACGAGCTAGACGTCGACGAAGTAGATGATGAGATGGACAATGCAGAGGGCCGTAGCTCTACTGATTTGCTCATTCGGTCCTCAAGCAACAGCTCAGAACCACTCGACAAAGCAAACGAGGAAACCGACAAACCGACACACCGTACGGTGTTTTGGACTCTGTCCAGACAAGATGCAGAGTACTCGGATGGCTACTACGACTCCGTCGACACGAAGATCGATTCTTTGTCGAGATCCGTGGCCCAAAGCGTCAGGTCGACATTCTGGTTTCCAGCATTCGTCAAGGACGAGCTTGAGGGAAGCGAGGAAGGCCCATGGATGGCGGTCCCTCCATCGAAAGATTCGGCATCGAAAATGGGAGAGAGTGCTACCATCAACTGGGACATCGATTTTGTCCACGTAAAGGTGCGCTTCCGTACCTGTGTCCCAGAGAGCATCGACTGGATGCAAAACATCCAAAACCTCGTCGTCGACACAAAGCCTTTCATAGCGCGACGTCCGCAGCATGTCACAAACACATGTCTCTGGATGTGGACCAACAAAGCAACGCTTTCAAACCTGAGGACTATCCGACAAATCGCCGCGCCAGAGTACCAAGTTCCATTCTGGCATTCCGAGTGGTGTCATTATCAGATGAGACACCTTCTCCGTTTCGCGCCAGGAACACCTCCCCAATGGCGCGATATCCAGTCCGAACTGGTGTCTGATGAGTTTTGGATTCCACCTGACAACTTACCACGACAACCCGAGTGGAAGCAATTCGTCCGGGACTTTTTCGGCAAGCTAAGATGCGCGGTTGGGAGTCGGACCTTCAAGAATTACATGAGGGTCCCTCATCGCTCCGATAAGGATGAGGTCAAAGGCGCACGTGTGATTTTTGATGTCGTCAAGCGACATCCAAGCCATTTCCACGGTGTACTCTTCCATTCACCTGATAAATGCGGCCATAAATTCACTACCGCAGAAATAGTATAGGATTAGGGCTGACTGTAGTGATCGAGAGGGTGGAGCTTCATTGTTCGATGGCCGACAGCGTAGCTACAACGATTCAAGAGGAAACCTCGACTAATTGTAGATCTCTACACTTAAAGCAATTGCATCACCCCAAAGAGGATCTTTCATATACCTTCTGCGCTGGCTTCAGAACCAAATGTTGTAGTTTGATTTCAAAATATCATGTTTGAGCCAAAGGCTTTGTTCCTGACCCATTCTAAATCCTGCCCGAGATGATTGAGAACGTTGCTCGGAACCGACTCCTGCTAAGAGTCTCTGAAATCATAAAATTTGACGCTGGTCTCTCTTGCCTTATTGTAGTACTAAGTCACGCATCAATTGGTATTGGTTCCCGATTTTCCAGGACTATGCTCTTAGCCGACACCTTTCTCTAGGCAAATTAGACAAGTCCAATACCTCATGACTCCATGTTCTGCTTTGATCCGGCCTTGGCAACCGGATTTAATCACGAACAATACGAAGTTGTCGGTGGGATCCGGCTCTTGGCTGCAACCTAGTAACTTTATATACCCAATTGAGGTTGAACGGCACCTGTCAGATCCCAATCCAGTGCGTGCCCCCGCACTTTGTATATTAGGGGCTGCGGCTCATACGACTCTGGTACGCACTGCCGATAGGCTCCCCGCATGCTACTCACTGACCTCACTTGAGCCTATTATAAGCTTAATGAAGCGCTCAGTCAGGGCCAATGGGATAAAAACAAGACTTCCGGCTCGCAAACCTCATTGATAGACTCAAAGAGGACGGTGTCTCCAAAATCATGCAACCTAAGGTCAGGTCGAGTAGTGTGACAAGTCCAGCAGGACTGTGTCCCAGATACTCAATTGTACCGCGTGGAGTACTCTTCTGGACTGATGATGAAGCTTATAAAACGCACTATCCTTGCCACTTCTCTGCCTTCTGTCTTCATATTCTACATTCATCTCCTCTTGGGCACTTATTTCCCTTCCCAGAGGCTTCAACATGCCTTCCCTCAGAAGCTTCATAGTATATTGCTTGGGCATTGCCGCACACTTCACATCGGCGTGGCCAACCCAGCACCCCGAACACGTCCAGATACTCACCCGAGCAGAGCAGCTCGCCACCGAATACGACTATGTAATTGTCGGCGGTGGCACGTCTGGCCTGACAGTCGGTGATCGACTCACAGAGGATGGCAAATGTCAGTTCCCAATATGTCCTTCATCACACAAATCTTCAACCTAATGCAGAAAAGACACCGTTCTCGTAGTCGAGTATGGCTACTACGACAGCCAGACTGGCATGAATCCACGTCGCATGTTCAACATCACGTCCAAGCCGTGCCCCAATCTCAATGGCCGAAGCTTTGACGTAGGTATTGGATGTGTTGTCGGTGGAAGTTCTTCCGTCAATGGCCAAGTCTTTCTTAGGGGAACCAAAGACGAATACAATGCCTGGAAAGAACTTGGTGGAACCGGGTCTACATGGGACTGGGATAACCTGCTGCCATACTTCAAAAAGGTAAGCGATCAGATGAGCGAATGAGTGTAAGCTAAGTTGACGGATCTTAGGGCATCACCCTCGCGCCTCCTGATGCAGCTCAAGCTCGAGAGTACAACATCACCTACGACACAAAGTACTGGGGCACAACCTCCAAGATCTATGCTGCCTTTGGCAAGGGCCCTCTTCAGTCCGTCCTCAGTAGGTTCCAATCCGTCTGAATCCCTTCCCGTCAGTCTCGAACCGCTGACGATAGCTCTAAGAGATACTTTACAACGCCATGGCAAAGATGCCCGGCATGAACATCCCCGTCGACAGTGGCGCCGGTGAAGCCGGCCTATACTGGTACCCAATGTCCCAAGATCCCGTTCAGTTTCAGCGTTCTTATGCTCGCACCGGTCACTGGGACGGCCTCAACCGCGCAAACTACGAGATGATCGTCGGTGCCAAGGTCAACCGCATCCTCTTTGACGGCGACACCGCCACGGGAGTGCAATTCGTCTCTCGCAATAATACGGGAGCCGCCCCTGTACAGATCAAAGCCCGTCGCGAAGTCATCCTCGCCGCCGGCTCCGTACATACGCCGCAGGTCCTCATGCTCAGTGGCATTGGGCCCCGCGCACACCTCGAGCAGGCGCGCATCGCCGTCAAGGTTGACTTGCCCGGCGTCGGATCAAACTTCCAAGATCACAGCTACATCCCAAGTATCTCCTACCAATGGGGCGTCCAGCCGCCCAATTCGGGCGGAGGCGGCTGGGGAGGCGGCGGTCCGCCTTCCCTAGCCTCCATGATCGGCCTTCCCGTCGTCAGCCCGGACAGATTCGAGACCCTAGCCAAGGCATTTGAAGCACAAGACCCCAAATCCCACCTACCCTCGACCTACACCGCCGAGCAAATCGAGGGTTACAAGCAGCAGCAGAAGGTCTGGGGCAGGCTCATGCGCTCCAAGAACGTCGTCTTCTCCGAGATGATGATGTACGGCCCCGGCGGCTCCGTGCAGAACCTGCACTGCATGTCCCGCGGCAACATCCTTCTCAACACGGCGCAGCCCGAGAGCGAAATGGTCGTCGACTACCGTGCCGCGTCCAACACCATCGATTTGGACGTTATGGCGGAAATTATCAAGTTTATGCGACGGTACATGACTACCGGCGACCTGGCGCAGTACCAGGCGCGCGAGACGTCGCCAGGCACGGGCGTGTCGTCCGATGCGCAGCTCGTCAGCTGGGCCAAGGGGCAGATTATCCCGTCCGTGTATCATCCTGTCGGTACCACTGCGAAGATGCCGCGCGAGTGGGGCGGGGTGCTAGATGAGAATCTGCTGGTGTATGGTGTGAAGAAGTTGAGGGTTGTTGATGCTTCGATGATGCCTACGACTGTTGGTGCGACCACGTCCATGACCGTTTACGCTGTTGCTGAAAAGGTAGGTTCTGATGTCTCCAAGGCCATGGGAAGATTGCTAACAGGAATGAAAGGCTGCCGATATGATCAAAGCGCAGACACTGTAGCTGATGCTGGCTCTATGTGGAACTTTCGAAGGGCATGGTGGAGAGACAATATTGGATTAGGGGGTCATGCTGCGACCATCTTACCACATTCGTTGATGCTTTTCACATACCACGCAGACTCTAACTCGTTTCTGAGCCTGTTGTCAGAGGATCGTACGATGCCCAGTGATCTGATTGAGTAGTTGTGTATTGACAATATTTCTAGTTTCATTCAATGTAAAGCTTTTCTAGTAACTAACTGTTCCAGCCAAAGGCAGAGGAAGCATGAATGTAATGATGATTCGACGGGCGTCGCCATCTCAACCCCTTCACACAGTGACTTCTACTAAAGTTCCTCGGACACTTCTTTTGCTCTCGTCAGCTTACCGAATGATACATGACCGCTGGAAAACATACCTCCTTTAGCGATGTCCTGGCTCTGTGCCTCCTCCCACTCCTTCATCCAAGCTTTGACAAACTCGACCTCCTGAGCCTGGACGTTCTTGATAGACGCAGGTGGGAAGTCCGGCGTGACATCCTCCGGCTTCAATCCGTTCTCATCCCAGTGATGGACACCCAAATCGATGAGAAGGAAGGGCTCGCTGGTCGTCGACTTGCGGTTCAGGCCGATTTTGTGGGGTGTGGCAGCTCTCCAGGGATCAGCCTCACCATCGACGATCGCAACACGCGGGTAGCTAAAGTTGAAGCCGCCGTGCTTGTTGATGGCGTCCACGTTGGGGGGCTCGGTGATGTTGAAGGCTTCGCGGCAGTAGATGGAGCTATAGTCGACGTCGATGAGGCGCGAAATGAGGGGAAGCTCGTTGTCAGGCACACCTGATCCAGTCTGGAAGTAACCCCATCTGCGAGAGGTGTTAACAATTGATCAAACTCGCTGGCTTGAAGACACTCACTCTGTGCAAACCTGGTAGATCCAGCTGCGGCCAGGTCCCTGGCGAATAGAGGTGTTTCGGTGTTCTTCGCTGTTGCGGCCCGAGAAGCACTTGACCAAGTCTCCGCTTTTGCAACCCTTCTTAACGTAGTCCTTGACATAACCGACATAGTTGAGCATGCGATTTGTCAACTTGGCGTCTGAGCCACTGGCGGAGAGCAACTCGTCCACCGACGACTTCAAATGGCGGGTGCTGCCAAAGAGGACACTATCTGAGCTGATAGTGGCGCAGTACGTTCCAAAAGCGGTGGTATCCTGGGCAGGGTCCCAGTTGGTTGACTGCAGTCCCGAAATGCCGTACGACAAGGTGCTGGCGAAATCATCATCTTTAAGAGGGCCTAGGCCAAAGAGATCCTTGAGCTGGCTCTTGTCGGAGTCAGACTTCCCAAGCAGAATCTTGTCGACAACCTCGGTGAGCTTCTGGGTTGTCTCGGCACAGTCACCTGGCGAAAAGAGCCTAGCACCTTCGTAGTACTCCCAGTAGTCGATGATGGCTGCTGTGACACCCGACGACGATATGCCGCCCCAGAAGGCCTCCGGATAGAGCTTCCTAAGAAAGGCGGCAAAGGCTCCGGCGTACGAGCCTCCATAAGCAAGGTAGGGCGTACCAGGTGCGGTAAGGTTCAAGTCCTCGTGACCAGGGAAGCTGATGTGCTTCGCAAAGTAGGCCGTATCGGCGAGGGCCTGGTCGGTGCTCAAGAAGCGGAGGTTCTTAGTGCTGAGGTCGGGCACAGGGAAACTCTTGCCATAGTAGCGATGCTCAAGGACGACACCGACGCCACCGGTGGCCTTGGCAAGAATGGAAAGGATGCCGTGGTCGAGGAACGGCAGACGCTCCTTGGCGTCCGTCTCTCCGGCGGCGAGGATGATTACAGGGCCTCCCTTGCGGTAGTGTTTCGCGTCGAACCAGTAGCGGAGGTCAAAAGACTCGTCCGAGTGCGGTTCGTATCGCGAGTCGTTGTGGAAGTGGTCAACAGGGACGGAGAGGTTGTACTCTGGGTACTGCTCCGCAAAAGCAGCCGAGGCAATGTCCACCTGAGACTCTGACTCCGCCCGGGCAGCCGACTGCAGCGCGTTCCAAGCCTCGTGGCCCGCGAGATGTTGCAGACCAAGTCCGGCGGCAACGGCCCGGCCCGCGGCCAGCACAAAGCAAGCTCCGGATTTCCAATTCGTCATGTCGCCGGCGTGTGATGGGGAAACCAATGATGTCCGTCCCGCAGTTGGAGGCGGCGCCGAGTGTTGTTGTGACTAAAGTTGTGGAACCCGGCGTGAATGGTGCGGGGTCGTTTATGTGTGTGTGAGCATCACGCGCGGGCCCCCATCGTCATCTGGGCTTACCTTATCACTTGTTGTTCTCAGCGAATTTCATCTCATCTCACCTCTGCTCAACCCATCACATCTCACTCTTACAATCATTCATCTTGAGAACTCAGGTTTAATGGGTCCACTCAAAGATGATTTCATCCTGTAGAAATGTGCAGACTGACTATCGGCTGATTGGAGCCTAGACAGTATGTAGAAGGGTGAGCATCATCACCTCAGGACTCGTGCTGGACTGGATACAATTACCTGCCTTTGCCTAAGAGCACTCCGAGATGTAGAGACTTCATGAATGATTGTTACCTAACTTGCAGACTTGAGCGCAACGTGCCAAATGCTTGGTTGAATTCCACTTCAATCTGCCGGTTGAGTCACTGGCCGCAGCCGGCGTCATACCCCCCGCCCGTAAGCTGTCAGCGCAAGAGGGCTTCCAATCGGGTCAGCAATGCTGCAACCCAACGTAGGCACGAAGCCGTCCGGCAGAACAGCTTCATCGAAAGTTCGAAGGCCGATAGTACTCACAGCTCATATCCAATAGTAGAGCAAAACTCTCGGCGTAAGATTTGCGCCTTTGACTTAAACCAGTAAGCCACCCAGAGGCATCACGAGCGAAGCTTCGAAATGTGGTTCCTCGGGACTGGGTGGTAGAAGTTTGTGTGAGCCAGCAATGCTCCGAGGGAATCCCCTACATATATCATCTCCATTTGCTTTTGATGACGACGAAATCTGTTCAAGCTAGACCCAAGAAACCTCGTTTTGGTTCCTGAAAATGGCAGCTCCGGACCTTTCGCCGTTGGCCAAAAAGACGCTCGACGTCTCTCGTGGCTTCATATACACCTACTACACCTCGCCCACCCGCAACTCCAAGCCTACCCTCCTCCTCTTCCATGGCTGGCCTGACACGGCGCGTCTCTGGGCCGGTCTCATCAACAACTACCTCATCCCAAATGGCTTCGGCGTCGTGGCGCTGGACAACCTCGGCTTCGGTGATACGTCGAAGCCCACCGACCCAGAAGATTACGCATGGCACCATGTCGCAGCCGATGCTGTCGAGATTCTCGACACCGAGTGCTTAACCAAAGTCATCGCCCTCGGCCATGACTGGGGCTGCCTCATCGCCCAACGGCTGTACAACTTTCACCCCGATCGCACCTGCGGCCTTGTCACGTTGAACGTTCCTTACATGCCACCCACTGGCCACTTTGATCTCGAAACGGTCAACGAAACGACGAGGAGGGCATTCGGCGTTGGCATCTTCGAGTACTGGCACTTTTTCCTCGCCGAGGACTCGGTAGACCTCATGAATCAGAACCTCGAGTCTGTATATAGTGTCACTTTCGGCGAGCCGCAAACCTGGCTCGAGAACTGGTGCACGCCCGGCAAGATGGGTGAGTTCATCACCAGAGGCCGCATGCAACCGACGCTACCGTTCGCTACACCGGAGCATAGAGCCGACTTTATGGAGCGATACAGCAGAGACGGCGGGTTTGCCGCGTCAAGATGTGTTTACACTGTGACGGGCTCCGGGATCCAGGATAAGTCGGAGAGGATGCTGAGCGAGGATGTTAAGACGGTCGCGTGCCGGTGCTCTATTGGGGCGGGAAACAGGACTACGTGTGCAGACCTGAATTACTTGAGCGGAGCATCGCCGCTGGAGTGCTGCCAGATGTCAAGAGTATGACGAGGGAAGGCGGTCATTGGGCTTTTCTTGAGAAGCCGGTTGTGTTTGGAGAGGATGTGTTGGGATGGCTGCACGAGACTTTTGACTCTTGAGTCTGCACAAAGAAAACAGGGATCACCCCGCTGACAGCGCAGAGTTACCCAAACAACTCATATGAAAGCAAACCACAACCACATTTAAAAAAGCAAAAGATCAACGCCACGAGTTGTGATGTTGTTATTTCTGGACGATCAGGGGATTGAACCCTGGGCCTCCCGCAGACACTAGGTGAATGCAAAGCGGGCGCTCTACCACTGAGCTAAACGCCCTGTATTGGGTGCGACACTTGATGCCGCTGTGGGATGCTCACGATGCTCGCAAGCGGGTTTGAGAACCCCGCCAGACACAGCCGCATGCATGCGGGCGGAGACATAAGCCATGGTATTAGTAAGAGAGGAAGAGAGAAAGGAGACAGTCGCCGATTTGGCTTGAACTCCGACAAGTCCCTCTGAAAGTAAGTTGGATCATGAGAAGCATAGCAAGACAGTAGAAATGACTAGGTGTTGGAGAGAGATACTTTGTTACAGGAGTGATTAGTGCCTCCCCTTGAGGGGTGTTTTGTTAACCCCGTAGTTGTGGGCCCTGTTGAAATACTCTCTTCTGCCAGTCCATAGCAACAACCCCCAAAATGCAAACTCTAGATTCTCGTCAACTCGGTTACAGACACTGCAGAGAGGAGAAGAGCCTTTTGATTGCTGAGAAAACACCCGATGTCGGCTCACAACTAATTGACAACTCGAATTGACTTTGGTGGGTTGAACGAACCCCGCTCTCAAATCGAAGCCTACTTAGATCCGTCAGCCCTCTCGAGACTTAACACCGAGCGGAGCTTTAGCTCCGACACTCCCCTTGGTGTAGTTGGTTCATCACGTTCGACTGTAATGGTTACATTGTCATCGAAAGGTCTCTAGTTCGATTCTGGAAGGGGAGAGTTACTCTTTTGCTTTTTGGGTCGAGGACATCTTTACAACTGCTTTGCTGCAGACGTGCGTGAAATTTGCTTAATGGATGACCATGTAACGTAAAATGAACGTGGCACGGTGCTGCGTTTGTCTAAACGGCAAGTAGGTGGTAGTTCTTCATTGGCAGCCTCCCTCACATATGCTTTCATTGTCTCCCAATACCACCATCAACATCCACCCCCTCGCTCCTTGCCTTCTTAATTGCATCTCTTGCCTCCTGCTGCTCCTTCTTCTTCCTGTTCGATCGGTTAATAATCTGTATTTTCGCTCACTTTACTCACCTGTTTCAACCATCCATGACTCTGAAGAGGGGGATACTCACTCCTCAATCCCACTACCAAACTCCTCGTTGACAACCTCCTGCCCTGGCACCTTTTGCGTACCACTCTTCCTCTCCACCGCATCAGCAACCTTGCCCTCCGCAAGCGTCGCCATTTGCTCAGCCTCGACGTTAGGGTTCTCCAACTCTCTGCTGCTACCACCCTCAGACGCGTACGCGGTATTCCGCCTCTCCGTCTCGTCCACGGGGCCGGAGGAGTGTACGCCTGCGCCTAGCGAACTTGGCGTCGCGTCGTCGACGGAGCGGGACTGGGATTGCGGGAAGGGCGTGCGACCTAGTGCTGCGTCGCGCGCGGCGGTCTCGCGGTCCGAGGCATCGTGTGCTGCTGCATTTTCGGCGGGGTTGCGGGTTGTTGGGTTTGAGGCTGTTTTGTAGGCTTCTGATGTTGGGGGTTGGGATGGTGCTGAGGATGACATTTTGGCTTTGGTCTGAGGTGTTTGTTCTTCGAACGAGTAAGATTTACACTACTAGAAGTGCAATGAGTGTCTGAGGAAATCCGAATTATGCGATTGTAGACATTCACAGTGAAATTCCGCGTCGCAAAGTATTTGTCTTTCGCAGAGAGCTCCAAAGCTCTAGAGCAATGACATCGGTGACAGGTCGATGACGTCGGCGGGCAGTCGTGGATCGACGCTTAGTCTCTCCCCATCTCCGTCATCGTAAATCATAAACCCGCCTTCAATGATTAGCTTGTCAACAGCTATGGTCATAGAAAGGTGCGGTTTTTTATTCACGATAAGGCTTCTTTGGTCTTTGATTCAACAGCCGCCGGTCGCCGCCAAGCCCGTCTACCTTGGGGCGATTGAAATCTCCGGCTATCAAGAACGATGCCCACATCTGAACCCGGAGCCGATGTAAGACAACAACGGCACTCAGTCAACGTTCCCTAGATGTTGTGCTTGCGCTACTCAATTCTAAGTTATTGCTTCAGCTCGATCAAAATGTAACTGTGCAACCCTTGTCAACCCAATTGGTTACTCGGTTGACACTGAATTCGATGTCACTTGAAATACGATTTCAGTTCATCATCACTTATCCAGTGTCTAAAGGTCCCTCCAGTCAAGCTCGACCCTTCTCATCTTACCTGACATATTCCAAATGAAGAATCTATCAGATCCCGCATGGCACACATTGTCTTTGGAACAAGCTTCATCTGAAGGTCCCCTTGAACCAAAGCCTCGCGATCGATACCACAACGGCTCCAACCTGCTTAGCCACAGACAATGCAACCTCCAACTCATCCCATCTCCATAAACCATGTCGCTCCAAGTGCCAACGCCGCCCAAATCTCATTGGTCTACCCCGCCCATCGACACCGAAGCCAAGACCAAAAGCTACCCCAAACAGTATGGAGGAATGGGTACACCGGACGAGTGGGAAGCCAACACACGGCTCCGATTCGGCCTCGACATGTGCCGCCGAGCTCCGGCGACCCGTCATTCGCCCGTTTCTACCGGTAGTCGTCCCGTCTTTTGCTCTCGAATCCTGTTGACCCCCGCATGCATACCGACAACCCAATTGAAGAATCCGAGTTGCATATGGTGTGATGTCGCGCAAACTTTCGCCTTTTCCACGGCCCGCGCGGTGGTGGTGTGGTGATTGTTGTCAGAAGGGCGTATAAGACATGTCCAAGACCCCTCTTCAACCTCACGATGGAAAGTGTCGCAGATGTAGTAAACAAATTCCTTTCTTTGAGCTGCCGTCATAATCATTACAATATTTTCAGAAATGCCACCATCCGCAACAGAGACGGCTGCCGCCAAGCAGGTCGAAGACTCCAAGGCGAAAGATTTGCCATCGAAAGAACAATCAAAGGAGGCAGTATACGCAGACGACTTTCCGCCGCTAGATGAGGCGCTCCCAGAAGTACGGACAGACCACAAAGAGCCCCTCAAGACTACTGGGGTTCTCGATCAGTTTGAGCACTTCGAAGTGACGCCCGTCATCGGCCGCGAGTACCCGACTCTCGATCTCAAGGAGCTGCTGCGTGCGCCCAACTCTGACGAACTACTTCGCGACCTAGCAATCACCAGTGAGCAATGCCTTCACCAAGAGACTCATCTCCTATACTGACACAAGTACCACAGTTTCGCAGCGCGGTGTCGTATTCTTCCGCAAGCAGGACAACATCGACAATGACCTCCAAAAGGAACTTGTCCAACGCCTTGGCGAATTATCCGGGAAGCCCTCGACTTCGAAGCTTCATATTCACCCCGTCAACAATTCCGGCCGCGGCGACACAAAGGACGATGAGATCAGCGTCATCTCGTCGGCGCAGGCCAAGAGGCTGGGCATCCACCGCTTCCTAAACTACACCAAGAAGCAGACGCAGAGGTCGCAGTGGCATTCCGATATCACCTTTGAGCCGGTGCCAAGCGACTATGCCCTACTGCGTCTGACACAGCTGCCCAAGACGGGAGGAGGTGAGCACTTTCGAGCTTTCGCCGCCAACTTTGGCGCACACTTGTACTGACCAAAACATAGACACGCTCTGGGCCTCGGGCTACGAAGTATACGACCGGATATCGAAGCCGCTCCAAAAGTTCTTCGACGGCATGACAGCCACGTACGCCCAGCCAGGCTTCAACGCAACCGCAGAGAAGAACGGCTTCAAGCTCTACTCCGAACCACGCGGCGCGCCTGAAAACGTGGGCGAGCTCCTGGAAGCCATCCACCCGGTGATCCGCACGAACCCGGTGACGGGCTGGAAGAGCGTCTTCGCCGTCGGCCTCCATGTCCAAAAGATCAACGGCCTGTCGGATGAGGAGTCGAAGCACTTCCTCGACTGGTTCGTGCAGCTCATCATCGAGAACCACGACCTGCAGGTGCGGCACCGCTGGCAGAACCCCAACGACGTCGCCATCTGGGACAACCGCTCGGCCTACCACGCCGCGACGCCGGATTACATCGTGGACGACCTCGGGGAGAGGCAGGGCTCTCGTGCCGTGAGTCTCGGGGAGAGGCCGTACTATGACCCCCAGAGTCAAAGCAGACGGGAGGCCCTGCGTGCCGAAGCTATTGCCGCTTTGAAGGCGGATTACAGCTCATGAAGGTTGTTTCCGGAACCAAACGACTTGTTTCTCTGGATGGTCGTGCTCTCGAGCTTTGTTGTGAGGACTAGACGACGATGGACTCATTCTCCTACTCGGGAGCAGATTACCGTAGCAGTCAAAACAATGATTTTCCCCCAGAGAAGAGGAAGAAGCGGTTTCAGTGTGCCCTATCGTGGCTCGGGAGCTACTCCCGAAGATCTTTCAGCTGTGCCTGTATCAAGTAGACTTTATCCCCACTTAGGGGTAGAGGCATAGATCAGACGAGGTCGCCAGCACGAGACTTCTGATACTGGACCCTCCCGTCGGTTCTCTTTAGAGTTCAGAGCCAATCTCAAGACCGTCGCATCTGCCGGTCAGACATGGCACGGGCGTTGCACCCAGACCCTGAGAATGTCGGCCAGATGATATTCCATCTTCTCCTTCTTCTTCTCTGCATAGAAGGACCTGTTTCCTGTCGACTAGTCAGTCGGCAAAGGCCCCGATGCATAGGCGCGGCTGGCTATGCATCGAATCATTTTGCCATTCGGCAACGCGTGGATCATACGCAGACCTCGAGTCGAGCGGTTCAGACGGGCGATCTGGACCTCTTGCGACGTGGGCTTGACG